CGCGAGCTCGAGGACCTGGGCGCCGACGTCGTCGTCACCGAGTCGCAGTTCATGTCGCGCGAGTGGAGGGACCGGCTGGCTGAGATCACCCGCCAGGGCCGCGAGCAGATCGGCCTCGGCCTCAACTGCGTCGGCGGCAAGTCCGCGACCGCCATCGCCCGCTCCTTGGGCGAGGGCGCTACCATGGTCACGTACGGCGGCATGGCTAAGCAGCCTGTTGCTCTGCCTGTTGGTCTCTTGATCTTCAAGGATATCCGGTTCCTCGGCTTCTGGCTGTCCAAGTGGAACGAGAAGGATGTCGAGGGCAGAAAACACATGATTAATGACATTCTAAGCCTGATCCGGGCTGGGAAGTTCCAAGATGTACCTGTCGACAAAGTCAAGTGGGATTGGGACACCGAGGAGTCCACCCTTCGTGATGCCGTACAAGGAGGACTCCAGGGATTCAGAAAAGGCAAGGGAGTTTTCGTCTTTGGCGAGACCTGAGCGTTGGATAAAACATTTCGTTTATTTCCAGAGTGATCTGTTGTAGTATTATAGTTGTAGATATCACGAATTCTCTGAGCAATGATAGGATAAACCTCCTCCAGGACAGGAAATGCATAGTACCAATACAATATCACAATGGTACACGTATGGCTTTGGCTCATTGAGACACTAAGGTATTGCAAGAACATGGAACCATATAGCCGAAAACAGGCTGGCTGGAAATGATACTTGTACATAGAGATACTCATCGCTTTTGAGTTAGCAAAGCACCAGAGAAGAAATATGTCAGAGTCACCATCGTCAACAGAAGCGAGTGATCAAACATTGTATTTAAATTAAGCTCTAAATGCCTGCGCCCATTCGTGCAACTTATCAATGACCACCGGGGCAAAAGCAGTCAATGTATCCTCAATAACCCTGCCAAAATACAATATGGCCTCCTCCTCGGTCATCTCAAGATGAAAGCGCTCTCTCACTTTAAGGACTGCCTTGTCAGGTTCGAGCCTGATATCTGGGATGTTGGCATCAACCATCAGGCTGAACAGATTCAGAATAAGGTTAGAGGATTTGCGTAGCGCCGTATACGCCAAAAAGCAGTACTGTTTAAACTGCTGATACTCATCCGACTGAACGCCACCCATGCAATCAACCATCTCTTTCGACAGCTTCATTACTGGAGCGAATGGCTTGGGGTCGCGACCCAGAATATAGCCAAAATCTGCATGGAAAAAATGCCCATCCGGAGCAAGAAGGAGGTTGTCTAGGTGGCGATCACCTACTCCTAGAATGTATGTGATGACACAGTATCCTGCGCATGATCTAATATAAGTATCGAGCGTTTCTTGCCTGACGCCTAGTGGTTGTCTATCATCTGGGTTATGGTGTCTGAGAAAGGCCAAGGCAGGATTGGTCTTGAAACGAGCCACGATGCTAGACAAACTCTGCGATTGCACAAACTGGGAAGCACCTGCAGATGTGCTTGTTGCCAGAATCTTGTAAGGGGATAATTTCAGATCCAAGTTTTCCTTCTGGAGGAGCTGGTCCATGAGCGTAATAATTTGGATGACAAGTTGATCCTGTCGCAAGTCATCACCAAGTTTGAAAATGATAGGATATGGAGTTCCAGTCGTTGTCTTAAACGAGCATTTGATGGGGTTCAGTGACGATTTGAACACCGTGACCTGGTCTGGGATGATACCTGTGATTTTGATAGACGGGTCCAGCGGCATGGGCAACGGCGGGTCAATTGTGACAAGCTCGTTTTTTGGATCCCCAAGAAAGTGCTTTACTCGGTCCGTTTTCTTGGCAATGGATTCGGACGATGCTTTTACATCGCCTGCTATTTTTGAAAGTATTGTTATGACTTCCGCTTGTCTCAGGAGAATCTTGCGTTGCTCAACTCCATCTGGCTTGGCGACGAGCTCCACCATGAACTCATAGGCTACCTTGCGGTAAATATTCCTGTTGTCTGACCCTTGTAAAGGGCTGGCGTCGTCACATTCAACCATTAGATACCAATGGAAGTAGTTTCCCAACATGAAGTTGGAAGCTGCTCGCTGAATCAGAAATCCGGCGAGGGATGAGTCTTGGGTGCTGTCTTGTGCTGATTCTGCGGAGATATGCTCGTATTTGAGAGCTTGTACGAGCTGAAGAAGGTATAGGAGCAATTCTTGGTCGTCCGCCTTTCGTAGGCGGTCGACAGCATACGAGCGGACCCCAGGGTTATCGAACGAAGGTCCAAGTAGCTCGAGTGCATCATCAACATCGATTGCAGTCCAGCGACCGAGAACCTGGATAGCTTGTTTAGATTCGCTCTGATCAGCCCAATTCACCGACTTGACGAATTTCGTTAATGCACGCTTGTCCCTCGTCAAATGGTAGCGGAATTTCCACACAAGATCAGCCTCTTCAGGAGATAGAACATGTGTTGGCGAGTAAGCCATAATGTGGTTCAACTCGTCTCGAACTTTGGCATTTGGTTTCAAATCTTTGTCAAGGATGCCATGTCTATGCGAACTGCGGAAGAGTCGTCTGTGCTTCGCTTCAGCAGGGTTGTCTTTCTGACCAGCCTCAGGGTCCCAAACTTTGATCAGCTGGCCACCTAGGCCTTCTGAGCCATCTTCTAGTCCGTTGATTCCAGGGCCGAAATGTACCTGAGGCCGTTGGGCTAGATTGGCCTGCGAGGCAGAAAGCGACCGAAACGAGGATACTGGCGGTGGGTCGTATTCGTGATCTGCAAAGACCACAGGAAAGTCGAACCGGGGAAGCTCTACGTTCAAGAAGAACATTGAAGGTCCTGCGCGCCCATGGTCCTCCTCGTCTGGCTTCTCGTCGGCAGTGCCCTGTTGCGTAGCATCCAGAGCGCGCCGCCTCTCGCGCATCTTCATCGAGGACTTTGCAGCCTGAAGACCTTGTTTCTCAAAGTTTCGGAAAACAATCTGATCAAGCCAGTCCACCCTAGGCAGCTCGCCCATTTCATGTTTCTTGAAAAGCTTCTCCATCCGATCGAGCTCCTCAGCTTCTTTATCCAGCTGAGTCTCCCAACTCTTATTTCCTCGCTTTTTAGTTGAGATTTGAGCAGGGGTCGTGGTTTTAACCATGCCGTCAGCCTTTTTGTGACGATACACCACACATTTCTGTCTTCCCTTCTGCGCGTGGTTGTCTTGGTCGAACAGGGCTAATGTGGTCCCTCCAAACGGTATGGCATGGCCGGATGCGTCCTTTCCACCGCTGGGAGAAAGATCCCATATAGTAATCGCGAGACAAGAGTCGGCAGGCAAGTTTTTGTATGTGAGGGGGAGCTCGAGCCATTCGTTCCACCTGATTTGGGCGGCATCGTTAGCACAGAGCTAGGAGAGTGGGGGAGTAGTGATATTCATACTTTCTTTCTGCCCTGAACGACTTATATGCTGTTTGAATAGGAACCGATAGCGGCTTCGACCCAGCCCAGACCTGGACTGTGACAAAGAGGTCGGAATGCGGGCTGGCGCATGTTAATATCAAGCGGCGAGGGGGGCGGGGGCTGTGTTTGCGCACCTTGTATTTGATCCAACATGACGGAGATCTGGACGCTCGAAGAGCGTAGACATTCTTATAGGTGGCTCATCTCCCTCTAGATTCATTCTAGATGCCAGCTTGTCAGAACCAATGAGCCCGCCATCGATGGATAATACATTCTTACATTCGAACGCTCAGCGGATGGTCGACATCCTTGGAACCTGCGAAGGAAAACGGGTCCAACTTCCCGTAATCAGCCATTTTTATCTCGAGTCATTATGAGCACCCTAGACGGAGGCCATAGGAGGGGGGTTGGCCGGGTTGTTGTCGAGGTCGCAGGTTGGAAGGATGCGCAAGTCCACCCAGCTACCTCATGTATGTTATCATAGCGGTGCAGCAGAAAGGCTGCTTGATAGCTAAGCGCAACTTAACCTCCAGCCCCACCACCCACATGATGCACGGCCACAGATGTCAGCAGGCTCCAGCCACATTTCCCAGGGGTCATTCAGCAATGTTAAACACAACAAACTTCCATGGTATCTATTTAACTTCTATCAAACAAATTCAGGGCTATCAATATTATCAGCTCCAAAACGCAACCCACCTATATCTACCGTCGAAAATCCATATATCTGGTAACACGATCGCCCCAACTGCGTCAACCCGCTAGTAATTGGCCTGGCATCAAATCAATCCACTGTCCATCATGCCCTCAGATGCCACTCAAAGACTTGGCTAAACATCTCCTTGGCGTTTTCCTCCACCACATCTCCGTGGCATGGGATTAGCTTCACAAAATCCCACTTACCGATGACCTTCACGCTCTCATTAAAGCTGGCGCGGTCCTTAGCCGCGACGTGCCAATTGAACCTCTTCATCCACTTATTATCGCCGTGTGGGTTCTGCAGGCCCTCGAACAACTTGCCCAGGAACCCCTCCTTCCTTTCCGCCTCTGGCACCTTGCTGTACTGCTCGGTGGCGGGCATGTTGAAGAGCAGATCAGCCTCGATGAGGACCTTCTCGGGCTTGTAAAGGAAAACAATCTCTTTGTTCGCGTGACCATCCACATACTCGTAGTCAAAGTCGGCATCAAACTCGTCGTCAATCTTGATGTCGTGCTTATTCTCCTTCTTGAAGACCACAGCGAACTCCTCCTTTCCGATTTTTGGGTCGTGTTGGCCGGCTCGCTTCTCAGGGAGCCCCTCGGGCCCAATGATCTTGACTCCTGGATACTGGGTGGCCCACTCGGAAATAAAAATGTGATGCTCGTAGTCCAATGCGACGATGTAGGCAAGATTGCCGCCCAGCTCGGCAACCTTGGCTTTGGCTGCCTCGGTGAGCGCCACGGGCGAGAAGACGGCCAGATTCCCAGAACTCAGTTTCACTGTGCGATCACGTGTCAGTTCCCGAATGCGACAACGACGAATGTGTCCCTTCAAGAGACGACTGCTTCCTCTTACCAAGAGTTCCACGGCCACCAATCTTGGCTGTCCCGAACCGCGCAAAAGGCACAGAGAATGTCACAATGTTAGGCGTGACATTGCGGATGACCATCACATCGGCCGGGTTGGATGGAATGAGTTTCGAAGACATGGCAGCTGATCTGGCGGGTGTGCTGGTAAAACCTCGAGAAAGTGGTTGCGGCTTGAGATTGGGACGGCATAAGGCGGACGAGACCGAGCCAGAGTATAAATATTTGCGAAGATGAACCTGGCCTGAGTTGCGACAGTCAATGACGCAAAAATTGGCCGGAGACGACGAAATCAGCGGATGCGACGCTAAGATGTGTGGCGGAGGTGCTGATGATATCCGAAGATTTGTAATTGAGGTCAGCGGCCGCCTTCCAGCACGGGAGAGAAACCTGGCCAAGCTCGAGCTTCGCCTAAGATGGTGCGCCACCATTATGCATGGATTTAACCTCATTAATTACTAGGTACGTGGTGGAAGTTCCATGGTATGGCAGCGAAGGTGGGCTCACAAATCGGGTTGTTAGTGCCTGGACTGGAGTGAGGGGCTGTTCTCCAAAGAACACAATTGCTTTGCAGAACCAGGGGCCTGGAACTGTGGCTCCAACGGTTCAGGGATCCATGACATCAACAGAGTAAAAACCACCTGCTTTTGTCGCTTTCGCGGCGAGGGATTGGACCGGTCATTGATCCGGTTCTGGAAGGCTGGAGCTGTCATCCGCTTCGGCTTCGGCCGGGCTCAACACTCCGCAGCGGGTCCATCGACCTCTCCACCGAGGCACAGGATCTAGACCCAGTTGAACGGATACCCGATTATCCTAAATATTCGGATTCCCGTGCGAGTAATACCTTATTGCCCCTTGTATCTTATAGCACTAATCTTCCTCTGTTAAGACTTTTTAAGTAAAGTATCCATTATTTGGAAATGCAAGTACCAACTCATCATCTTAACAAGTAACCGCCGGGTACCCGTAGGATCATGATAGTATAATCCGTTCCCAACAACGGGCAATATCGTTTCCAGCCTTATACTCTGCACACCTCCTGAGCTCAAGTTTTTTTTTTTAACTGAGTCGTAGCATTCCCTAACTTGTGGTAGCATGCCCGGTCTGGAGTTGGCAATCACTTTATTGTGTTAGACCAATGATCCTTTGCGTGTCATTCTCACTTCTCCAAAAGGTTTCCGGCTCAGATATCCCCAACCGAAACACTCCCTTCTCGATCCCAATGAAAAGAATCATGCGGCTTTCTTCATAAATGTAGTCGAGCATGTACCTTCTGCTTAACCCATTGGCCTGAAGAAGAATATCGAGCTCCCGTCTCCAATCCAGGAAAGCCATAAGGCAAGTCAGAAACATGACTTGAGTCACAATAATACACCATGAGAGCCTAGGGACGATGTAAACAGGAAGTTTCGGCAGATGGAAAGCGTCTAGTAAGCCTGTTCCAAATGTGAACAAGTGCAGGGCAGTGGTTATCAGAAATAGTAGAAGATGCCACCATGCAATGAGCTGTCCCGAAATCAAGTCCCATACGACTCTCAACAAGGTGTAAAATGCCCACTCAAGAACGTCAAAAATGATGAATTTCCCATATTTCCGTGGTTGTAGAAACTTCGGCGTGGGCCAAAGTGGTTGTGGATCAGTTGATTGTAGCCCTTGCATATAGGCAGCAAAACCATACGTCGAGTCGTTCCCAACCCTTGGACCAGAGCCCTTTTTTTCGGCCTTGTTGCCTCCACCAGAGTTGCTGGCCTCTGCTGTACCATCATTGGATCCTTGAATACACAGTGTCGCGTCTCCCTCCTCCGCGGTGAGAATTTCACCAGAAGAAAACTTGTGGTTTAGTTTAGTGCGAAGAGCTGGTATTCTTTCGTAAACAGGGCCAGGTCGTATAAAAGTTCCACGGCCGGATGGGAAGGTCATGTCGTATGCCTGTTGTGGAAGTGACTCTTCAGACGATGTGCGCTGAATAGCTTGTCCGGACTGGTTAGCCTCAGAAGAAGCTGGCGATGGTTGATTGTCGGCCCCCATCCCCGGCTGCCGCGATTGGACTTTTCCAGAATCATCGGCTGTGGGCATTGACATAGTCACGACTTTGGCGGGACTCGCAGGGTTCGACACAAACTGTCCGTACTGGAACGCATCGTGAGTGATGGTCTCAACATTTTCTTTGTAGACCCCTTGATTTCCAATCCATGTCGAGAGGTGAGCACTGTTGGGCGCATATAGCCCTTCTTCTTCTTCTTTCCCACTTGACTGTTGGCTGTTGTCGCTCTCCACCTTTTTTTCCGGCAGAGTCATGTAAGACCTTTGCAGTTCGACATTTACCCGAACCAAATCATCGTTGAGTTTGACAATGGTAGTATCCTGTTCAACAATCCGGGCCATCTGCTCATCGAATTGTTCACGGATCTTCCCAACCAGTGGCACGATTGCATTTCCGGCTCGGAGAGCAAGGCTGACCTCAGCTTCCCCTCCTTCTGCTGGGGTTGCCACGTTGTACAGCAATTCAACCAATTTCAACAATCTCATGAGCATCTCATGGCCACTCTCATGCTCTGGAAGCTCTACAAGCTCGAGCAGCTCGTTCAGTTCTTCCCTGTCTGCCATGCTCATCCCCTCTGTTTCGTACGCCGATGTGTCCATTTTCAAAGACCTCTTTGACTTTGTTTTGTTTTTTTCGTCCTAGTATACTTCGCCCAAGTTCTTTCGTCTCTAGAGATTTATAACGCTTTGTGGTGATTGCGTACTATGTTAATTTCGGATATCGTTTTATGGTGCGCATGGGATAGTGACGTCGAATGCGGCCTGATGATATTTGCTCCGGAAGGGAGATGAAGAAATATCATCATTCTACTTGCTAGGGTAAAGCGAATACCCTCAAAATAATCAGACAGGCACGAGACTGTTTTTATTTTGGAAACAAAGAGCATGTGGGAACAAAGAATGGCCTTGCTACTAGTACTCACAAATTTACACATTCACACATCAGGCAAGGGCCAGGTGCCTAGGTCAGTGCTATGGGCACCAAACAACCATCGAGTCATATGCCAAGGATATGATCGGAATAGCCAGGTGTATACTAAACTACGGTAAAATAGGTGGCGGACAAAGACCAAAACGACGACGAGTGACTACGAGTGTACTGTGACAATCCGAGCTATGGGAATACTACAATGATACAACAGCCATAGTTCATTGACTTGAAAAAGACCTTATCCATTGACGCCAACAAGTTACCGGGTATCAATCATTAGTTATTACAGTATAAACATACATTTTAGCTATACCAGCCCTTCGCTCCAGGATTGTCACGAGTCGACTCAGCTCTATGTTTTATCAGAGGCTCCGCCAGTTCTAAAGTTTCTACAATATCCTCCCAAGTTGCCATATCCATTGAAAGAATTGCTTGATGCTTTGAGCCGCCTTGACGAAGGCTGGGCTCCTCATCGACCTCTCTCATAACGGGTGCTAAGAAAAAAGTTAATCATTTACCCTGCAAGGTCGAACTTGGGGAAAGATCAATAATATGGCGTGACCTAACTTACCAAGGCTAGGGAGATCGTTATCGTCATACTCAATGCTAACTCTACCATCACGGATGAGGAAGCTGACATAGAAGATATTTTCGACAGTTTGCCCAAACGACCTGGGGTTAACCACGAATCGTAAGAGGTCTATCCCCCCCGTGCTCCGGAGACCATGCTGATGCATAATATTGACTTTTTGGTCATCTGGCATATCGTCATCGATGAGATCAACCACAGTCTGCTGCACCTCGGACTGAGTCTTGACCAGTTGTTGTAGGATTTGTCCGCAAATGGCGGTCAAATCATTTTCTTTCTTGGCAAGACTAGCCACATCAAGGACCTCTGGACGAGTCTCTCTCAAATCGTTTGGCCTTAGCGGGGCACTTCGCTTTGTTATCTTCCTTGCTTTCTTTTCCACGGACAAGGGCCCGAGTAAAAAGCCGGGCAGAGCAGGCCGTCGAATGTTAGGAAGGACGGCAAAGCGGCCCAGGTGGGACCAGTTCATCATATCTCCCTCATCTCCAATATCTTCGTCATCCTCGCCGGGGTCTTGTGAAGTGGCAGTCCTCCGCTGCCTTTGGGTACTGGAAAGTTCTGGAGCATCATCATCCTCAATACCCCTGCCCTGCCGCATATAGACGATGCATCTTGACACAAAGTCGTCCACATTCACACCTTGTGCGAGGGTTCCGTGTGTCAGACGCAGCGTTCTCTGATATGAAAGATCTGTTGTGCTCACGAGAAGCCGCGAATCCGACGCAGCTTCTCCCGGTCGCTTGACCTGCTTCAATATCGAGTTTGCCTTCTCAATCGTTTCCTTGAGACCACGAGAGTCACCTTGTAAGTATTCCTCTCGTTTCTCTATAACATCTTTGAGAAGGCCTCGGAGTCCCCTTTGGACCTTGCGCCGCTCCTCGAGCGGCTGGTCGGGATCGTAGTAATCTTCGCCGTCGTCTCCACTTTCGTCGTCGGATGCATCCAGTCCACCTCGAGGTCCGCCACTTTGAATCTGTTCGGACGATCCATCACTATTGTCATCGCTCTCTGAGTTGTCTGATTCGATTGCTCTCTGCCGGCGACTCGAACGTTGGGTCATGACTGTGTCTCGGCGCTTGCGCTTGGCGGAGAGTGAAGATGGGGTAGCGGAAGCAACATCTTCAGCAGAACTATCGTCCGACATTGTACAGAATTAAAACCAGTCAATCGCAGTACAGTAGGAAATTGAGTTTGGGCTCGCGATCGTATATCTTCAATACAAGTGGTATTCTGGGTCTCTGACAAAGGGCTAAGTTGTAAATAGCATGCGCTTCCGACGCGTAGGGAAGTCGCGTTGGCGTGTTAAGCATCTTTGATGCGGGGCTTTCCAACTCCATGTCCATGTACCGATACGCCCCACTATCAAGCCACACGCCTCACTTGAGACCATCGATATTCAACTTCGACGCAAAATCAATATGAATTAGCCCAATTATGAACTAATTATCGAAATAATTACTATCGCATATTTTGTTATTTACTTCTAGTTACATCTATATCACCAGTCAAGGCTCTCTCACAGGCAGGAGTGATGTTTTGCTATGCCATATTTTCTCTCACCCATTTGCCTTCTATCGCTTTAATAATGGCCCAACTTCACTTCTCACCATCATCGCATGGGAGCAAATGTCCTCTTTATGTGCAAGCGCAGCCACCGTTAAACCACAGGCTGTTTGGAAGTATATTCTTCCATTGATACACTGGAATAACTGCTTCCTTCTTTTCCCTCGGTCATACCTCATCAATATGTTACGTGCGAAACGAAAACCGACTTCCAGCAGCCCCCCATTACCTCTATCTTCGCTTCTTCTTTTACAACACATTAACTTCTTTCTCACTCTCTATTACCAGTCTCATGCCACCTGAGATATTCCCATAAACCCCTGCAATGACCCAAATGTCCTCAACCATGCCCTATTTCTCCACTCAAGTACCCATTCGCCAAGCCCGGGCAATGCTTCAGTTATTGTAGTGGCGTTTGATAATATAGTCCCTGTCATGTCTAATGGTCCCTATGAATTCTCGGCTTCTTTCCATGCTACGCAGCGTGTCCAAATTCATCTGCTGTTAAGCTCTGACATACTCAAGTTCGTTCGCTCTCTTCTCATCTGCCGATTGCCTATCGTAGGACTTTTCTAATTCTTCTAACTCCGCATTTACTTTCTTGACTGCCTCGGAGTCCTCATCGCTATTACCACTGGGCTCATAATGGATTGATTCCAGTGGCGCCGTTTTGGGTGGCTGCGACCTTGTTTGCAGCCGAGAGGGCACCATCTGTTGAGTCCAATTATAGCCAGCCAGTACAGGTTCTATCCGATCTACAGGAGCCGGCTGCTGTATTGTTCCTACCAACTCCCCCAAGCTGCTCTTTTTTGCGTTCAGATGGGTCTTGGAGTAAATTTCGTAGCTGACAGGTGCCTTGGGGAACACCCACTCGGGCACATCACCACGCTGTTTCCATATCGTTGGCTGAAATTTTCGGAAGACCAGTGTTTATGCGATAACGCAACGAAGCTGGATCGTCCAGTATGCCCATTCCCCACAAATCGATGAATCCTTTGCGTGTAAGCAAAGGGGACTGTGGGCTTGGGCTGTGGCTGTTTCCACCTCGGAAGCCCAGGGTATATTGGATAGAGTCGTTATCATAGGTAGTGACGCTTCAAGGTTCTATCAGCAATGTGCTCCTTCTCGGAACCCTCGGCCTTCCTCAAGGCGACTCTCCCTGTCCGTGGATTAGCTCTACCCAGCTACAGTGATCTAATGACCTCACATATGTTATTTGCTTCCGGATACTCTAAGATATCCAACAGTAGGCCATAAGTCTACGGGGCCAAATAACCCTTCCCTTCGTAATCAAAAAAGTCGAAGACCGCCGAGGCAACATCCACAAAGCCAGGGAGTGCAGCATAAGTCTTGGGGTCGAACAAAGTAGACCAGACCTGCCCAGCAGCTGCGGCAGAGGATGCAGCTGTCTGATCTACCGCCACAGGCCCTGAGTGGCCGCTTACTCTAAACAGTTCTACCTTGTGGCCTGGTCGGTGTGATTCAGTGTAGGTCCCACAAAGATCATAACGGCCGCAGGGCAAGCAATGCACCCTCGCCTTGTTTGGTGTGATGGCGTCTCCGCAGCCATCACAAAGAAAAAGCGACATGTTTGTTTACAGCGCCGGTAACGAACGCGTCATGAATACGCAGCATTCTCTATGACAGCGAGACGTCGAGTCTATTCTGACGACTAAATGACTATTATACCCCGCGTCCCGGTTTAAGGGGAAGGGCTGAAGCGGAGGGATGAGGCTTGGAAAAGTAATAGCGCGCCACGTTGGTGTGCCACGCTTCTAAAGACGTTCTGGACCTTGCATATCAGTGACATTTCCAACTGCATGAAGGCATAAGCATGCAGTTAAAGTATCAAGAGTCTTCTACATATCATGGACATCATCACAAATATCCAAGCCGCGTGTTCTTGACACCTCCAAAAAGAAACAAGCCCACTAATTAGGCCCATCAACCGCTTGTTCTCACCAAGAGCGCCCAGGCGGGGTTTGGGTTTAGCTTTCACTAGCAAGATACTTAATAAAAGGCCTCAATCAAGGCAGCGAACAAGCCGGTATTGGCAACTGGACGTGAGACATCAAAGTGAAGAAGCTATGAGCAGAGGACATTCCGTATTAACCGATTGGTTGGTTTTCATTGAAACATACTGTCCAAGCTTCAAATTCTAATACGGCCCAAGACGAATGGTTGCAACTCAATCCAGTGCGAAAACAAATCCGTCTGAATTGGAATCGGCATTCGGTATCTGCGTCTGATGAACCAAAAGTGATGATTACAATAAAAGCAGCGACCGCAACCTGGGGTAAGATACGACCTAATGATAGCAGCATGATAAGCCACGGGGGCTGACCAAGTGCGACATTCTGATGTAGCTTCACGCCATTCTTAGATTTCGGTTTGAAGCATCTCGGGCGATAAGAACTCCAAGTCATGGGAACCAGACTATCGATAAGAACCCGGACTAACAAGGCTTAGGCAGGACTAGGCTCAACATTGCCCAGGCACCTAAGAGGTCACTAGCCGCGTCCCACCTGCTGTGCGGTACCTTTGTCCAGGCTTGAACTGGTACCAACAAGTATCCGGCCAAGGCTGGGCGTGACGCACCACCTCCCCGCGATAACCACCACCAAAGACGAGGCACGCGACACCCTCCAGAAACTTAGATCAAGGATGTCACATTGGGCGCTTTTGGTCATATGCCATCAGTTCATATCTCTGCCTGAAAAGCTAAGAAGTAGAAAGTCAACTCATGAATGGGAAGTCTGGTGCCACTGATGGGGAAGGTGCTGATAAGTCGGCCCCCAGCCTTTGTCCGAGTAGCGTAGCAGCATGTCCTGGGCTAAGAAACCCCCAACTTCACACCCATGCACAGCAATCAATAGTTCCTGTGTGATCCCTGGGACCGTGCAACACTCCCCCGAACATTTCTAGAATGCCATGACCGTCGTGACTGGCAAGGTACGAGCCCGAGTTCCTGCATTGGCAGTGCCTCGCTGGCGTAACGACGCGCGTTGATCATCTCCGGATCGATGATGTAAGAGCTTCGTAGCGTCTATGCATTCCCAAGATCTTGGGAGACTCGCAACGGCGTGATCTCGATCGCACAGCGGCAGCTTCTCTAGTGCAGCTAGGCACAAGGAAATCAGGTATCCGGGTTTCAACCACCAGCTTTAGATGCCACTCAAACCACAAAACTCAAGGTCCACGGAGGGTCAGGGCGGGGAAGGGTTGGCAGATAGTGGGGTATAATGGTGCAACAATAGGAACAGGACCAGACCTGGCCTCACCTCGGTTGGCCGTGGTCGGCCTCGAGGACCGGAAACTTGGGCTGCCCCAATTATTGTCTCTCCACAACAAGGGAGGAAGAGAACATCAAGCAGCATCATCCAAGTTCCACAAGAGGCCACTATTGAGGCGCAGTCTCGGAACTGGGCATGCCGCATAGCTGGCTCCTGTTTGCCCATCTTCTATCATTCAAAAAGATAGGAAAGAGGGAGCCAACGCAAGCCCTTCGAGTTGAATATCACACAGTAAATAAAGTTTCCGAGGCTGGGAGTTCGGTGAGAGTCACCCCGAGTGCCTAGGGCTGTTACATTCGCTCAGAAGTCTAGCAGGTAGGCCACTGTCCTTTGCCCAGTGTCGGACATGTAAGTCGTTCTATGCAACACATCACCCGCCTAGAATTAGATTCATAAACTGGACCCAGTCTCCCCATATTTGTCGACACCACTACTCTAACTTTATCGATCTCTTTACCACTGCGTTTCCGACTGCAGCTTACCTTTGCCAATACTCTATAGAGGGCGAAAGGCACCCGCATTTGCCGGCGGCTTTTTTACTCAAACGAGCGTTCCTGGCGGTGACTTCCAGCCATCATTCCTTGGCACCTTGTATAGTGTGTTTATTCTCTCATACTGGTCAATTCTCATGTTTTGATGTCATTTGTCTCCTGGTCTCTGTAGATCCTACTCTCATCGTCGTGACCCATGCCTGGCACATTTGGATGGCAGCACCACACACTCCGGTAATAATCCTATGCACCACCACGGTGAGTTCAGGTGTTCGCGTGTCCTTGGCAGGGCTGTCTTGCTCCCGGGTGCCGCGATACCGATAGCATCCAAATCCGGGTCTGTAGGTCAAGATGTACTACGTAGGAGACGGTCAGTGGCTTCTCAGACAAGTGCTTGCTTTACCCACACACACCTCCACACCCTACGTGTAACTAGCCAGCTGGACCACATGCATATTTACCCGCCCCTGCGCATACGTACGGTAACCTACATCAAGTAGGCGGTTGGGCGGGTATCATGACCCCTCCTGTCTTACATAGTGCATACGCTTTGGCTAGGCTTGCGATATGTCGTTACCTCTGGGCCGAGCCCGGTCTCACCCAGCCCAGCCAAAAGCGAGGTCCGTGTCGTCCAAAGCTTCCTGGGATTTCCCTTTTTCCTCTCTCCTGACCTCTCTTCCCTCGTCCTCGTTTCCTTTTATTCCTCATTCTTCGCTATTCTCGTGAGGTTCTGCATAAGAGAGCTACCGAGGGAGCTGGCCAGCTCATACTTAAATGACATCCCTCACGATCACCGCCACAAGATCCCCTCGCCTCTTCCAGCGTAACCGTCATGGCTGCGTCACTCCTGATCACTCCGCGCTACAGCGCTGAGGACTTCGAGACACGGTCAATAGTGTCAGCTGCGCCATCATACAGTAGGTCCTACCACCCAGTGAGAGCCCCTCCTCCTCAGGTCCTCACCAACCTGTGAGCTCCGAGGATGCTCAACGCCTTGAATCGATGGGCTGATGATTTTACCAATAGGATCCGATGCGCCTTCATATCACTCGGCCGACTTACATCCCGATGTTCTCCCCGCATACACTCCTCCAGCAAACCGTAACGAGGCGAACAATTCGGCCCGCCGCCGACGCACCGCAGAACAACCCCCCGCCTCCCAGCAGCAGACCATCGGCCTCCCACCTATTCCTCCTCTACCCCGGGCTGGGGCTCCCAATATTCACAGCTTCCGCATTCCCACCTGGTCGACGCAGAATGCACCGGCCGCGCGTCAGCTCCACAGTGTTGTTGAGCGACGTCTGAATGCTGCCTTGGCGGAGCGGAGTAACAGGAGCACCCCTCGATACCACACTTTGTTGGCCGATGCGCCGTCGTCTAGCCAGAGCAGACCGCTGGAAGATCCATATCTTGTAGGTGAGCAGGCCGCTGCCCAGGCCCGCCGTGATCGGATGAACCGTGAAACTGGAGACGATATCCTCATAAAAGAAGACCAGCACTGGGACTGCTTCCTCGGTTCGTCGCCCCGTACTCTCCCTTGACCCAATTCCTGCCTTGAGTAGACCGCCAAGCTGACTCTTTACCCATTTTCACAGCTCAAATGAGGGAATGGGATGCGCGAGAGAAGAACTGGGCCAAGTTTCGCCGTGACGTCGATACGGGTAGGCGCCGTAGGATTCTACGCCGTATTGGCGGTTGATACTCTGAGAATGAGATCTGCCATAACCCCGTTTTCTTTCCTTCTTTTTTTTGTGCTCCGCCTGGGGCGGCCATTCAAACTCCCCTCCTTTTCTGTCCGGTTTCCTCTTACCATCTTGGGCATCTTGGGGCTTTCTTTTCTCACACAACTGGACGATATGACCGCATGTGCCGGCGCATACCATGTAGACGGGGTTGATTTTTAGGTCTTTCCTTCTTTCTTTGCTTATTCTTTGTTTTCTAAGGGCCGCTTGGCGATCGGCATAGGCCTTGCCATCTTGCATGTCTCCGGCGCTCTTGATTTTTGCGTCATTATATGTGTACTTCCCCTATTTTGTGGAATGTGCAAAACCAGGTTCGTAGCTAGCACTGGTGATTAGCTTTAGCTCTGGAGCAACATGAAACGCGGAAAGTTGAATGTGTTTATGCGTGTTCGACTGTGACTGGGGACGAGGGCGAGCAGAGACAGTACGATGTGCCACTATAAATCTGGTTATGCATTCAAGCTCGGAATCCGACAACTATCATCCGCCCACTACTTGCCAGTTTAAATATACACAGTTCCATAACGCCATGCCTTATGCACTTCTTTTGCCCGACACTGTTCTGCCACACTCCAGGAGAGAAGAAATGTGTTGCGCCCAGTAAGATTCTACAAGGGGGTACAAGTTTGTTTATAATAATGTTGGCTCTGGCGGGCCGGCTTAACCCTTGCTCTTGGTGTTGAGGATAAGAGCAACAATCAGTCTATCACGTATGTTAGCACCGGTTTTTCGAGGCAGTGTGAAGAGATAGTCTCATACCCGTAGAGACCAAGAACTTCGCCGAAAATGAGAATCAAAACCATGCCCACAAAGATGCGGGACTGTTGCATAAAGGCTCGGACACCAGTGTCACCGACAATGCCAATGCAGTAGCCAGCGGCGAGGCCAGTCATGCCGACGGCAATGCCACATGCGAGATGCATGAAGGATCTATTCCGCGTTATTAAAACCATCATCGAGAAACTTATGTTGCCGTATTACGTACGTGAAAAGGTCATATTTCTGTTGCGACGGGGGAGACAGATCCTGAGCGATGAGGACGGATATGACAAGCGAGTACACGGCGATGATACCCGACATGACCACGGGGATCAGACACTGCAGCACCATTAGCCAAACCAAGTTCGAGGACAACATGTAAGCCCTTTTCCCTTACCTTCATGATCAGATCAGGTCGAAATGTACCAACACCGGCGATACCGATTCCTGACTTGGCGGTACCATAAGCAGCACCGAGACCTGTATCGACGATTCGTTTAGTGTCTAGACCAGCATGATATAGGGGCATGCGCGTTCAATTCGCGATACGGTTGAGGAGAGTCGTACATCCGAAGACCATGGCGGCGGCGATACCGGCCTGGGAAGAGAAGATCGTGTCAGTACCAAGAACCCCTAGCTCAGAGATGACATCAAAGCGCCGCAGAACTTACCATCCCAATGAAGGGCGCAAACTTGGGCGCGAGCTCAGATTCGGCCATATTGAAGAGCAGCAGCGGGGCTTGCAGAATCTTCAAAAAAGTGTATGATTCGACCAGGGGCGGCGGGAGCGGCGATGGCTGGCGTTGTGGTTAGGAGCTCTGAGATGCTGATGGTGATGCAACAGGTTGCCTGTTCAAACCGGAGCCTTGACAGTTACTTAGACAGCCAATCATGTCGCGCGAATCAAGCCACAACTAGCTTCACGTGACTTGGCGCGTCGTGGCTCAGCTCGGGATAAGGTGTAGCCTAGGATAGCTCGGTAGGTGCCTAAGTATCAGTACCTCAGGTACCTACGATAGCAATTGGCTTTTATCTTCAAAGCAAGCTTTCATCACCTATTTCTACCCAGCAATGTGATCATAGCAGTTCAATGCCTGCGTAAACTGGGGCAATGGACCCGAGGCTGTTCTTTTGTATTGGCTATCTGGGTGACGCTTTTGTAGTCTTGATGGCCTAGGCAATTGGTCCTTGGAGGCGGCGCACAAAGATTTCCTTGAGCGGGTTAATGTGGCGTGAGATGCAGGTATCCCGATATAGCGCTGTAGGACTATCCCAGCTCAGGAGAAAATGTCCAAATCTACATATCTAAGGCAGGTGGGTAACTTGCATCGTGTACGGAGAGCATCTTACAGTTCGAAGCTCTACTGCGGGCTGAATACACGCTCAATTTTTTCGATTCCAATTCTCGAATGAAATGCTGCCATTCTGGGCTCAGATGCGCTCATCCTTGAGCTGGTACCTGACAAGAGCAAGCACAATGCATGGTGACGGACGACTCAGGATCCGGATTGAATACGCTGGTGCCCAGACGGTCCCACGGCAGCGGAGCCTTCAACCCACATCCCCCTATAGCTGCCCCTCTACAATTGAAGGCCAAGATGCATTACCTATTGCTTGGGCAGGGCATCTCCTAGGAGTACTAAGCTAGGTACCCACCTTGGCAGGTACCCTTATTAATAGTACGCAGGCACCTCTGACTCTATCGCTGCTTTTGCCAACCGTCCGCTTCAGCATTAAATGATTGATTGCTGGCTCCTTACCTAGACACGGATATAGCTAATGATTGCTCAAGCAACTAAGAGGGATAGAACAGCATTTCACTACCTAATTGTACCAAGCATCTGGTTGTTGAGACGGCGCAAAGACGCATTGCAGTCCCCAGCTCATGTTCTCTAAAACAGAGAAAAAGTGGATTCAAGGTGAGGATGCCCCCGTCCTGGGCTTGCTGTTGCGTGGCTCGTAATAAGGCTTACGAATATTCCTCAGGAGTCTGTTGGATCAGGTGCTAGTTATGAACAAAATTGAGTCAGGTAGCATAATATTTGGTTCAGCATCGAACTCTTGAGCAGACTTTCAGCGAGTTTGAAGTGCGAAGATGCGCGAGTGCTCCTAGGTTTGAAAGGTGAAACACTTGCTTCATGTGCCAGAGAAAGGTATGCTCCTACCAATATCTGCAATTCATTATTGGTATTTGCTGCCGAGCTTTTATTTTTGAGACGGTTCAAGGGCAGGGCTCTGCACAAACCAGAAAGAAGAAGAAAAACGAGGATGTACTCATGCCCCTGGATAAGCGAAGCGGCATGAGAACATAAAAATGAAACCAAAAATAAAATGGCATGCTCAATGGCAAGCGCGGACACTGCCCATAGGATCCATACCGCGAAACGACTGTCCTTTCGATACGGGCTGTTGCACCAGGGGCTGAGATATGGATGTCGGCAGTTCCTTGGGCTTGCAGTCCCCTGTGCTGGCCGTTGCTCTGTGCTGTGAGGGAGCAAGCGATGTCACCTGACTGCGCCGGCGGTGCACTGTTACCCTTGCCCGCCTAAGAGCAGCAAGCCCACTATGCCCAGGCGGGTGCAACGCCACCACTAGCCATACTTTGCAGTAAAACCTGGAACCCACCCATCCACCAAGCCTCATCAAGTACTGTTACTAGCGACAAGTCTCCGGCCAGGAGCTACGTCTTGCCATCAACTGGTGCCCTTGAGAAGCTCCTCTGCTAGACCATCAGGCATTTCGAGCCACGCTGGAGCTGCCAACCCAGGATCTTGGTGCTCACTTCTAGCCCTCGCTCGTCCCTGGCCATTCACCTTTCTCGACCCCCTTCCTGAGAGAGAGCACGAGGTGATTAATCTTGGGCGCCCGCGGCCTAGCAGCGACCGATACTCTCGCACCTGCGGTTCTCGAAGACGACTCGGCCACTCAACCGTCCCTTGGTCGCAATCACTCAGATGCGGCTGTAGCCCGAGGAGCTCCCAAGTGCACAAAATATCCTACGTACACCTGCGGCCCAGCCAGCCTACCAACTCAAACAGGTGTCCCCAAGGCGGCGCATCCGTGACGTCGACGGCTCGTCCGGTTGACCGTCTCCTAACTTGTTGAGAGGCAACGGCCAATAAGCCGCCGAAGCAGTATGTTGTTCTTGACCGCTCTCAATCCATACCCCATAGGGTTTTGAACTGGTGCTCACACTTCTCTCCTTCCAGGGTTCGATCATGGCCGACTACAACTACGACCCCCGGGCCCAACAGCGCTCCCGAGGCGGTTACCCCGAAAGTGGCCATCAACAGCGAGATGCTGCCTTCTCCAACATCTTTGGATCTGCTCCGCCTGGTAGATCCCAGACGATGACATCTTCATCCATGCACCCCTCCATGGACGATCACGGTAGAACATCGACCATGAACTCCCAGTCGGGGATGCAGCGCCAACCACCACCGCGGCCGCATCCAGGCTATTATGGAGAGACGCAACGGACGCGAACCATGGATTCGAACTCTTCCCACGCCTACTATCAGGGACAGCGCCCCCAGCCCAGCGGATACGGCGGTCATCCTCAATACCAGCAACAGCAGCAGCAGCAGCAACAGCAACCACAGTATATCCCTTATCAACAACAAGCAAGACGGCCATTCCCGAGCCAGGGACCGCCCCCGCCGCGGGGAGACCCTAGGGGGGCACCTCCGAATGCTGTTGGCGCGAGATACCCTCCGCAAAGAGCTTATCCTCCCCCAAACGCTGACCCCTATCGATCCCAGTCTCTTGTCTCTCAACCTCGTCCCCAAATGTATCAACAACCCTCAGGCGCATATCAGCAACAGCAGCCAGCCGCAAACCAGTTTCGCCATGCCCCCTACTCACAGCAATCGCAGCAATCAAGGACAACTGCACAAGGGCGGGTGGTTCCTGATCGCCACGAGGATCGATCAATGTCCATGACTGGTACCTATCATCCCCAGGATCGAGACGCACACCAAACGATGAGTGGCCGCGTCATTCCGAATCGCAGAGCGCCATCAGCAGAAGTATCCCCAACAAACGGTTTCGCACCTCAGAACAACGGAGGGTACATCCCTGCTCCTGGCTCGAAAACGAGAACCACAAGCATGTCATCCAATGGTGGTAGTGACCCTAGTAGAACCATGTCCATGGCTTCCACCATTGCACCCACAATCACGCCCTCAGAATCAGATGCGGGAACGATTGTTGCTACCAGACCCGGGAGGAGCCGGTCAATGGAAAGCGAGCGTCCACCCACTGCAACCAAAATCCGACCTCCCCTGGTGTATCCTGCCATGCTCTCCAAAGTGGCGGAATGCTTTCGCCGGAAAATTATTACTGGGGACCGTACCAAGAACGAACTTACGTATAAGAATGCATTCAGTGGATCAGAGGCAGTGGACGTGCTGTCCTACATCATTCGAACGACCGATCGAAACTTGGCCTTATTGCTAGGTCGTGCTCTTGATGCGCAAAAATTCTTCCACGATGTCACATATGAGCACCGACTGCGAGACTCCCAGTCAGAGATGTACCAATTTAGGGAAAACTTAATGGAGGAGCAATCAGAAGAGAAGGCCGCTGTCGATGGTGTTTTCGTATTGTTGTCTGAATGTTATTCACCAACTTGTACTAGGGATCAACTCTGTTACTCGATTGCCTGTCCCCGAAGACTGGAGCAAGTTTCTAGGCTCAACCTGAAGGTCAATCCTGGAGGCTTGCGCAAGCCTGATACCCCCCACGTCAACGATGACGAAGGCGATCAGACAGACGAGCAGAAGCTATGGATCAACTCAGTGCCAAAGGAGGTTGCCGAAAAGGTCGGGGAGCGTGAGAAGAAGAGACAGGAAGTCATATCCGAGATCTGCTACACCGAACGAGACTTCGTCAAGGACCTGGAGTACCTGCGAGATTTCTGGATCTTGCCGTTACGGTCGAAAGCGTCGCCAATTCCCGCCGCGCGCCGAGATAAGGTTGTCAAGAATATTTTCAGTAACATCATCGATCACCCGAGCATTCATACAGTCAGCTCGAGGTTTGCTTCCGCTTTGACAACCCGCCAGCAGAAGGAACCCATCGTTCACAATATTGGTGACATATTCCTCGACTCTGTGCCACATTTTGAGCCATTCCTCTGGTACGGTTCCAAACAGTTGGAGGGCAAGTTCGAATTTGAGAATGAGCGATCCTCCAATCCAATGTTTTCGAAGTTTGTGGACGAAATCGAAAGGCGCAAGGAGTCGAGAAAGCTCGAGCTGAACGGATATCTAACCAAGCCCACAACCCGTTTGGCACGATATCCGCTACTACTTGAGAATGTCTTAAAATACACGGAAGATGGTAACCCAGACAAAGAGGACATTCCCAAGGTGTTGGTCATAATCAGAGATCTCTTGGGAAGAGTCAACGCCGAGTCTGGTAAGGCAGAAAATCGTTTCAATTTGAGGAAGCTTCATGAACAGCTTAGGTTCCGGCCCAACGAAAGGGTCGACTTGAGGTTGACGGAAGAGGGCCGAGAGCTTGTGTTCAAGAGTCAATTCAAGAAATCGCCAACCGACCCTACGGAGTTCACAGCCTACCTTTTTGATCACGCAGTCTTGCTGGTGCGGATCAAGCAAACTGGCAAAACGGAAGAGATTAAGGCTCACCGGAGACCAATTCCTCTAGAGCTTCTTTCTATTAAAGAGATGGATGAAGTCATCCCACCAGGAGGCGTCAAACGGTCGTCTTCCAGTCTAATACCTGCCCTGAGGACCAACGAAACTAAGCAAAAGGGAGAAGGGTGGCCAATCACTTTCCGCCATTTGGGTAAGGCCGGTTATGAGTTAACCGTTTACGCCTCCAATCAGGCCGCCAGGAAGAAATGGCTGGAGTTCATTGACAATGCCCAGCAGCGCCTCCGCGCTCGCGCCGACTTTTTCAACACAACACCCATGTCAACGAATTTCTTCTCTGGTACAAACCACGTCAATTGCTCCACTCCATATGGTAGGTCTCATCCAATTCCAAAGCCTCTTGTGGCAATGCTAACATTTCTCACAGACGGCGGTCGAAAATTGTTGTATGGTACAGACAGTGGAATATATGTGTCTGAGCGTAAGAACAAGGAACAGGCTCCCAGAAGGGTGATAGAGATTGCCTCTGTCACGCAGATCGACGTCTTGGAAGAATACCAGCTGCTCCTGGTCATCTCCAACAAATCTCTGTTCTCCTTCTCAACCACGGCTCTCAACCCCGATGAGCCAGCGATGTCGAAACGACCCAAGAAGATCCAGAGCCACTGTAGTTTCTTCAAGACTGGCATCTGCCTTGGACGTCATCTCGTCTGCACTGTCAAACCTTCTACTTTGAATTCTACACTGAAGGTCTATGAGCCTACTGATGCCATGGCCAAGGTAAAGAAACAAAAGGGCTTTGGTAAGTTCATCGCTGGTGGACAAGACGAGTTGAAGTCGTTCAAGGAATTCTACCTGCCTAGTGAGGCAACCTCAGTGCACTTCCTCAAGTCGAAGCTTTGCGTTGCCTGTGCCAGGGGCTTCGAAGTTGTGTCTCTTGAGACTCTGGAGACCCAGTCTCTGCTTGACCAGGCTGATACCTCTCTCGACTTTGTTGCTCGCAAGGAGAGTGTCAAGCCAATTCATATTGAACGGCTCAACGGCGAGTTCCTGCTCAACTACTCTGAGTTCTCCTTCTTCGTCAATCGCAATGGCTGGAGGGCTCGGCCAGAGTGGCGTATTGATTGGGAGGGAACCCCTGTCAACTTTGCAATCAGCTATCCTTGGATCATTGCTTTTGAGCCCAACTTTATTGAGCTGCGGAACATGGAGAACGGTGCCGTGCACATAGTGCGTCACAAGAATATCCGTATGCTCCATAGCAGCACTCACGAGGTAAGTTTCCACTCATAAATTCCTTGCAACCCTACTCAATCCGGTTACTAACATTATTGATTAGATATTGGTTGCGTGGGAAGACGAACGAGGCGAAGACATGGTCCAGGCGTTGGACTTCTGGAAGACCAACCGCCGATCCGACACGTTGGGGGTGCCAGCAGCTTGATCCACGACTGTCCTTCATTTGACCTGATCTCATGATGGCTGCTTTTTCTTACCCTACAGAAAATAGACAAGCGAGTCATTTGAGAAAATCTAGCCTCTGTGTGTATTCTCCATTCCCCTTCATGATGACAATGGTTGGCATCCCAACTGCAGCCCTCAGTTTAACCTCTTCCCGTCGTATCCTCAAGTAGTCGCAGCGAGCATTGCATTGTCTTTTGGTCTTCTCACTTCTGTCTCCTCGCGCGTCTTTTTTTTCCTCGCATCTCGTGCACTACCATTATACCTTTTGAATTGGTCGTTGAGGGTGCACAAGTTCAGAGGTGAACGGTTTGGTTTTCATTTTCGATACAAGAGCAGTTGTTGGTTGCCTCCTCTTCCTCATTCTGAATCCTTGCGGATGGGTGGGCAATCAACCCAATGTAGGGAACAAGAAGGCATATGTTTGTTTGTTTTCCCCGAGGGAGCCAGCGATTTATAACTTTTTAATGGCATTATGGCCTTGCACAATTGTCCGGGTAGAACGTTGTTTATCATTTTTTTTCAGCGTAATCAAAACCACATTTGACTGAATCGTCTTGTTTTCCTATTTGCCATGTAGCTTGAAGTAGGACTGCTCTCGAATTAGACCCGTGGTCCTCCAAACCCACCATGGACTCGCACAGGTTCAAGATTTGTAGTCTTGGTTGACGCTGCTCCAGCAAACGCCTCTACGACACGCCCGCCGTCTATCACGACCGGCCCCCATCTCTGCTCCCGGTTCTTCCTTGCCCATTTCCTCGTATCGTCGTCGTCGTCGCCCCCACCGTCCGTCGTTGTTCCCTTCCACACCCCCATCTCATCGAGCAGCACCTCCACCACGGTGACAAACTCCACCGTCTCCCTATCCCTCGGCGTCGCGGCCGCGGCGGGTGTACGCACGCCGGCCAGCAGCTCCGAGTCCTTCCTGGAGCGAGGCACCCGCGTGCAGAGCAGGTGCAGGTCGAGGAGCTGGGCGAACACGAGCCCAAACGCCGGCTTGGCCACGGTGTAGCGGCGGGCGGCGGCGGCGGCGGCGGCCATCCCCTCGCCGTAGTTTGCCGACGGCTGCGGGTTGTGGAAGATGGAGCGGAGGGTCGGGTCGAGCTGCTTCCGCTGCCGCTCCGACGGGTACGACGCCGTTGGGGGAGGGGGAGGAGCCGTCGGACCCTGTGTCGGCGTCGTCGTGGAGGAGGTGTCGACGGCCGTGTTTGTGGAGTTGAGGATGAGGATCAGGGGGTTGGAGGGCAGCGAGCGCGAGAGGCGGCGCACGTGCGAGGCCAGGAGCTGGAGCTTGGCGTGGGCGGCCGCGGAGGAGCGGTGGGAGAAGAGGGCGGAGAGGAGGGAGGAGAAGTGCGTGATGACGATCATGTCCGGCGCCGTCTTCTCCGTCGCCGGGGTGGTGGATGAGGCGGCCGCCCCGGTCTCTTCTCCCAGGTCGTCGTCCTCCTCGTCCTCGCTGTCCTGGATCTCCTCTACTTTTTGAACGGGAGTTGGGTCGGGGCGCTCCAGATCGGCCAGCACCTCCCACAGCCCGTCCATGTCGAACACGCAAGAGAGCATCACCTTGTCAAGGGCGTCTCTGACTTTGGCGGCTCTATGGGTAGGACTGGTCTTCTTCCATTCTGGCTCCCTTGCAGCCAGTTCTGCCGTGATTCCATCTCGCAGAACTGGAAGAATCGTAGTAGCCGGTTTAGGAGTGATGACAAGCACCCGTTTGATCACGCCCTGGGAGAGCGAGTGAGCTAGGATCTGCACCGCAAGCTGGACCGAGAACAATATCAAACAGTCAGTCTCTAGGTGTAAGTGGTCGGAGTGGACGAGAGTGCGGGTTAGGGAAGGGCAACAAAGCACAAGCACGGCGAGTGCAAGAAATCACGGAGCAGATGTATCTTCACTCACCACCAGACCAAACTCATCTTCCCGTTCAGAACTCAAGCCGACAACCGACCCGCGCTCCAAGCCCCCCAGGAGGACATAGTCATCTATGTCGTCACACCCGGTTCGGCAGGCTCCGAGCTTCTGGCTGGAGACCCGTCGCTCTCTTTCGCTGCTCAGAACCGCCGAGGCCACCACGGGCTCCAGAGCAAGATGCGAGCTTGCTTGCGAAATCGGCAGGGGGATTTCATCCATGACTGCCCGGAATTATATGACTGGGTTGACAGTTGAGTGAGCTTGGTTTCCAATTGGGATTTCCACTTCGCCTTTCCTCTTGATGGCCGCTTTTCTCCTTGAGGGAGGGCAAGACAAAGCAGTAAACCAGCCCATAGCCTCTAGCCTACTCGCAGGTAGATGAGATTGGCATCGCCTTGGTGTACATGCTTATTCTGTCTGCTTTGCTTCTACATGTTGATGGCAGAAAAGGAAGCAAAAGCGTCGATTTATACTCCGTCTCCCCTCAATGAACAAGCTACCCTATAGTTCGAAGACACTGAAGTGGAAAGGTAAAGGTATCGTGCTCAACTTAAACTGAATTGAATTAAAAACTTCATAAAATCCCAGCGATCATATTTTCAGCTTCTCCGTGTACAATGCAACGAGTGAAATGGTTTATTAACAATGACGTTGGTATTTTGAAATGGCGATTTGTATCACTGTAGCCTATTGCAAACATAAAAGACTCCCATATCTTCACATACGCCCGAACGAAGCCCTTATACCATTGCGTTCTTTCCCTCTAAAAGTCTAACAGCTTACAGCAGCTTCATAGTCTTCTGAATCGTCTCGCTGCAAAAGAGTGCCCTCGCATGTAAAGCACAACAAAGAATTGCGGCTCATACCATGGCTCGCTGATAAGCGTTCCACCATGTCCTGTTCCCAGTTCTTGTCCAACCGGTCTTCCAAGTCAGGCAGCTGGAATAACTCGAATTTGCCCGTTAGAAGTAAGGGAGTGTGAGGGATTGGGAAGCTCCATTCCCGTAAATATTGAGGCACTTGGGCTGAACACGCCCCTCGACCAATTCATTGATATCTCCAACTTCCTCCTCTCACATACTATGACCTCTGAAGCGCGCGCCAAAGGTATGTATGTGTGTCATGCTTGCCAGGTTCATTCAACGAAATCCAATCACTAGTGTAGAGGAGCCATGCCGATTATCCACCACCATCGATATTCACTAGGAGGCACAAGTAAGCTGGAACCATGTCCCAATGCTTCATTCTACCTCCCCAATTGCTTAGAATAGTAGACATCCAAGATCCACTAAGTAGCGTTAGGGCTTAGGGGCTCGCTAGCCTTGGGTCTCCTCCCGCCTTTCAAACTTCTCATTCGGCCGAGGATGCCAGTAGGCTTCGTGTTTTCCTCGGGTTGAGCATCTGTAGTTGCTCGCCTTTCAAGTGGTCCGCCTGCGGAGCCTCGCCTTGGATATGATGCTGGACTTGTTGGCGACATTGCATCGTCTCGCGCTTTAACACTAAAGTACTCCTCGCCCTTGCCGTACTCTGAGAAGAAAGGGTTCGTCTCATTCCCAGCGCTGGTGGCCTCCGGCGACCGTCTGCTGTTGAACTGCGCCTCGGGCGTGTTGATACGCGCACCCGCGAAATCACGCTGCGGTCTGTTGATGCCTCGGATCCTCTGAGCCAAGGATTTCTTGCGCTGTAAGCCACCTTCGGCTATTTCTTCAGACTGCTCTTTATGATGACGAGCGATGGCCGATCTCGCGGCAGGCGTACCCTCCAAGAATGTTGATGTTCCTAAACCAACGCTCTCCTCTCCATGGATTGCATCGCCTCGAGCCTTGGGGTCGAAAACTGGAGTCGTAGTACTGCTCGGCTGAGAAGAGTAGCCATTTCGGTCTTTGTCTTTGGAGCTGTATGAATAGTCACTGAAGGCCTCTTTACTGCTGTGGCCTAAGAATGTTGAATGGTCCGCCTGCTTGTTCAATGGTCCAGCTCCTCCCAGGGAGTTATTGGGGGAATCCTTAGCATACGCTTGCATGGGAGCCCTTCGGCTCGTCTGGCGATTTCGATGGGGGTTGAGGGCGTCGAAGGGCCCATCGTGGTGGAAAACTATATGCGCCCATGTCAGACTTCCAAGACAGTACGGAATTCAGGATAGATCGTAGTTACTCACCTCCATGTCCATAGATGCTTGTGGCATCCAGTTGGTCAATGATATCCATCCTGCGACTGGGTCGACCACTCCCACCACCAGTTTTGCTCCGGGACTTGCCGTCGCGGGGTGGTTCTCGTCTCTCACGGCCCTCTCTCTTTTCGCGATCATCTCTCTTATCGCGGCCCTCTCGTGCCTCGCTTTCTGGGCGACCTCGTCCTTCTCGTTGATTTTCGCGCCGCCTAGCCGCAATAAATTGTTTCTCTTCTTCAGTTAGGGGCTTAGCATCGAAATCAAGGACTGAAGATTCGGAGTTTCGTCGAGGACGGCGCTGTTGTGGTGGGGGTCTTCGTGATGGCGACCCTGGCCCTCCTGGTCGCGGCCTAGATCCATGACGTTGCTGAGTTGGGGGGGCGGGTTTGCTTCCAGATATGTCGAGGCCTAGGCCTAAGAGGTCACCCTGCTTGTTCCCCGAGGACGATTCAGCTTTCTTCTCGCCCTTCTTATCATCAAGTGTGAGAGAGTTCTGTTGATCGCGTATAATTAGCATCTTGGGCTTAGAATTTCGGACCGGCGTGGGTTTGCTGTGTATTCGGCCAAGGGTTTGCAGGAGGAACGTGGTCGAGGACAGGACAAAGTAGAGGGCACCATACAAATATTTCCTCAGCAGAGAGGGATTTGGAGTCTGAGTGGTTCGACATGGTTCCAGGCGACCTCACGGGAGGCAAGGACTGGTCGAGGAAAGGGTTGCGGGATAGAGGGCGGGCAGGAGGATCTTCAAAGGGAGAGGCTGGAGATACAGCACGATTGCGGAAGGGGTTGTTTGAAGAAAGATTGATGCTCAGGCCGACAGGCGGCTGGTCTACTATGAGGTGAAGCGATCAGCGTTTGAACAGGTAGGGGGTAGGTACGCGCAAGCGATCAGTGGTGACGACAGAGGAATGGGTCAAACATGAAACGCAGACATTTCCAACAATGACACAACACAAGTGAGCGGTGGCATCCAAGTGGATCATGGCTACGGCCGTACACCCCTCTGATATCGTTTGGCCGTTAGGAATTGCAGTTTCAGCTCCCCTCTCCTATCATCTCCTCTCCCGTGCTCGCTCCTTATCTATCTCCCTGGTGGTGGTGACCAAGAACTAGCTGACCCGGGGAGGGAGGGATGTTTCCCTGGCAGGAGAGCAGCAAAAAGGCGGGCCCGCCAACCGGTATGCGAGACGAACGGCGGCTAGGCATTGATTGGGCACGATGGGGAGACAGAAATGAACATCAAACATCGATCTTGTTTCACGTACCTCGCTGGAACGAGTCAGAAGTCGACATTGTGGCGACAGCGGGCGCCGAAGCAGTGTGCGATGCTGCAGTGTGTCGCCGAAGGTGTCAGCGGTTGGGTGACGGAGAATGGGAGAGCGAGCGTGCGAGATTGCGGGCAATGCAATGAGCGACGAGGACCCGATGCGCGTGGCACCTTGTCAATCGGATGAATTAAATTCCTCTGGCCTGGAGACCAGCTGGCGGCGTCATGCCCAGAAAGCGACTGACGGTACGAGGATTTGTTGCAATTGCGAGAGGAGAAAGCTGGACGGAACTGGACAGGAGAGGAGGGGAGAAATGGAGAGCGGAAGCGACTCGTTAATAGGCAAGGAGCAGCAGGTGTGTAATTAGAAGCTTGGTTGGCTTCCAGCAGGAGCCAGAGCGGCAGACGGCTCTCGACCACTGGGCCTAGTCGTTTAGTAGCAGCAGCAGCCGGCCTCGACAGTGCAAGCACCAGCGACTCAGCCGGTTGTGAACAGGTGCTGCAGGCAATTAGGCATTGGCTAGCAGAGGCATTGCCGGGGGCACTGTCGCCATCGACATGGACGGGATAATTAGCGGGTGCACGTACCTACAGCGCCGGTTATTAGGCCTGGGCTCTCAGTCAGTCTGTGCCTGGCCTGGCTACAGGGAGGCGTTACTAGTCAGTGCCTCCTGGTCGAGAGTGAGGGGGCGCCCCGGGTCCAAGGCCCAAGACCCAACTCCGAAGAGGTGGTGGGGACCGTGAAAAGGGGGAGCGACCTGTGAAATTGTGTTCCTGGCCGGCCTCGTGTCGTCGATGGCCTCAAAGCAAGCCAAATCAAGGGTGAGGGTGGGTTGGTGCCTGGCCTGGCGCCGAATGCGTTGGGCGTGGCGGCGCTATTCCTCGATCCAGTGACTTGGACCTTGCCGAGAATGTATGGAGGCGTCTAGCAAATGATGGAAGGGATGCAGATCAGCAGGAGGAGCCAGCTGGGCCAACGACGGCGTGCTGGAAATCAGCTTGCTGTGGGGGGCGTTCAATAGGTTCCTCGAGGCTGAATGCCGGGGCTGCATTCATTAGGAAAGGATCAATGCGATGGATCCAGTTGCAAATTAGCCCAATGAAAGCAGGTGATCAGCAGCGCCTTGGGTCGCTTCAGCAATGGAGAGCGAGCGGCCCCAATTCCTGATATCGTATCGCGAAGGATGAAAATGATGGTAGCACGAGCAGGAGCCCAGATGGTTACGGATGAAGATGGAAGAGGAATAAGAGGGGGCTGGTGGACGAGGAGGACGAGAGAAGAGCACAGCAAAGATAGCGGTGAGAACCCAGATGTTTCAAATGACCAGTCGTTTGTTGGGACCGTCTTTTTTTGTTCCTCGTTTTCACTGTTGGAGGGCCGAGTGATGGTGGCGGCAGCAACGTACGGACATGGAATGTAGATCGTGGTTGCCGAGGACAACAAAACCACCCTCTACCTATTAATAAACGGCCTGCATACCCAAGATAGGCACTTCCCTCGTATGAAGATGAAAGGTAAATTACCTATTTGATGAAAAAGGGCGGGGAATGCGCTGCTCGCGCTTATAACTCACCCACATGCCGCAAGGTAGATTGTCACGCAGCTGCGATTACCTTGCAAATAGGTATGGGTATCTAAATAGATCATCAGTACGTGGACATAGACAGACGTACGGATATGATATCACTGCGTATTATAGGAAAATAAAATGCGCAGATCAACCACACAATCCAGCCAAGCGACTGACAGAAAACATGGCACACCCACCCAGAACCTCCAGCGTTAAATTCAACGCAATATCAAAGCAATTAACCCAGTAATAAACACAATACCAAGCTCAATAGCGTTGATAATGTATTCGTTTTTTTTAATGATAGTGTTTCGTATTATTGAAGAGAAAACAAGGTCCAGCCTTACGTGAAAAGAGCTCTAGTGAGCCATGTTTTATTTCAGCCACTGCCCAGCTCAGACCAGACCAGCCGCCCACGGGCAAATTACGAGGGCCGCTGAGGCGGGAAATGAATTTCCCGTCACAAGGCACAGAGGTGCATCCTTGGCAGCATCAATACGAGGAGGGTGACGAGAGCTGTTGCCCTACGTAATATATTTGTCACGATCCTATCTGAGTGTCTCATTGATCCGTCCTAGATCACTCCGATAATCACATTGACCGTTGGGGTGTGGCCATTCCTCATTGGTGGTCGATAACCGTTACGTGCTTCGTTGAGTAGCCTCACCGTCTTGGTGCCGTGTGCCGTAGCATCTGCCATTGATACGCTTCTCCTGGGCTGCTCAGCGGAAGCATCAGTCCAGGATCAGCACATGGAATTACTTGAACCGCAATTTCTGAAGATGGGTGGGGAGTTTATCTGCAGGTGGCTGCTTTATACATTGTATCAGCCAATCCTATCGGCCTTGACTATGTCCAACCGTCTCTGTAGGTAGTCCGAGATAACCTGAAAAGCTCCCTCCAGAAATGGAAGACTCATGCCTAAACTAATGTGCGTTTCTCATGGTCGGGCAAGCACCCTCTGCCCCATCTCTCGCTGTATCCCCAATTCCATGGCCCATCCAAGAACAAGTAAAAAGAAGATAAAAAACAACTTTGCCCGTCTAGACAGCCCAAGACTCCTGTTTGCATTAAATCGTGATAAAAGATGTGAGCCATCTCTACATTACTGCTCATCATCCCATCTGTACAGCTCAAGGGTAGAGCAATATCCATTCCTTGTCATCTTCTCATCCCGGCTACCCTCAACCTTCAAACTCCACGACACCAGGCTCGTTTATTTCCATCGGCCTTGCAGGCAGCGGCTTAGAATCCACATCGATAAGACTCTGCCCTGATTCTTTGTAGGATCCAGCTTCTGCGTCTGCCCCACTGAGCAGATCGCGATCGCTGCTCTTGACTGACCGTCGGTCTACATCAGCACTGGTCCCTGCTGCATTTCCTCGGACGCCGACAACAACTCCGATATCCTCGTCGTCCTCCTCTTCATCATCAGGTCGTTGGCCAGGTAGAGCATTCTTCTCAAGTTCCTTCTGGGCCTCCTCCATACGACGTCGGACTTCCGTTGCAACGCGCATTCCATCTGTGACAATGCCATCGAGCATACCGCGCAAGCCACGGCCGGCTTCAGGGGGCCCAGGCTGTATGGGTGCTGGTGCCCTCGCGCCGAAGCCGAGGCTCTGGAATGTGGTGAGCCCAGAACTTGAAGCAGAGGCTGAGGCGGCCTGAATGCCCTCAATCACGTGGAAAGACGAGGGAAACGAAGACTCGAAAAACTGCTCGAGAAGCTCGTCTGCAAGAACAACCATCCTGAATGTGGGGAGTGTGATGTGAAGTGGGTGGGCTGGATCCAGAGCTGCATTGGCGGCTTCGGTCTTGGATGCCCGCCGTTGCGACGCACTCCTATCGGCTACCTGATCGCCCTCGGGAGACAGCGACGATGGCAGCTTAGCCTTGCTGGGGGACACTGTAGGTGAATCGGGGCCCAGGAGGTCATCTTCGTCTTCGTCATCGTCGCCGATGGCAAAGGCTTCACCACTTCCGCCCTCCTGTTGTTCTGTTGATGGGGTCTTTTCCGTTTCCTCATTACCAGGACGATCAGGGTCCGCATATTCAAAGCAACGCCGAATGAACCCGCTAACACTACCCAAGAATCGCTCATTTGTTGAAGCCCCAGGTGGCAAGCTCCCTCCAGATTCGCGCGCAGTCGTCGATTCCCCACTCAGGTTAAGATTGGAGGCACCTGGACTTAGTGATCCTTCGAGTCCGCGGCGAGAAAGGAAAAGCAAGGCTTCGGATATACGCAGAATTCCTTCGCGGTCTACTCTACCATCACCATCGTCATCGTATAGCTCGAAGAAGTAATTGATGGTCCCCATAATGTCCCGCTTTCCTTTGATTTTGGCAAGCCCAGTGACCACGTTCTGAAGTGTTAAGGCTCCATTACCGTCAACATCCCAGTTTTTGAACGTGCGTCGTAGAAAATCATGCTCAGCTGGCTCCGGGCCTGTTCCCCACGGTGAGAATGCATCTGCAGCTCTTCGGGCACTCTGGTACTTTGGAGTTCTATCAGAGTCGAAGCTCGAGTCGAATCGCGATTGTCCAGGGGAGTCTGAAATCGCCCATTTAGCCAAAGAAGCTAGAAATTCGCGGAAGGCGTCATAGTCCATCAAGCTGGTGCTTGGTCCGAGAGCAACGCGGCCTTTCTCAACTTCATTTTCTGTACTTGCATTGGGGAAGAGATCAGACGCGCGAGATCTGATAAGCTTTGTCCTCCGCTTCCGCTCCTCCTGAATGATCATGTCTCGTTGCTGCCGATCGTATAGGACATTATAGAATCGATCATACAACGAAGCTAATTCATCGGCGGCAAGAAGTTTGCTATCAGGCCCCAAGTTACGGATGGCGGTTCGTTTGGCGAAGTTCTCAATGTTACTGAGAACGGCGTCTTTATTCTTCAACCTGAGCTCCGTAATGCTGCTGTGTGTGATGCCAGAAAATTCCTTGAACGCAACCACCATGAGCTCTTGAAAGCGAGTCACGGCGCGGAGCTTAGGATTCTCCGACTTGGGGTGAGCTGATTCATCGAGACGGGAGAAATACAATTTCAAGACGCTGATGAAGGTTCCATCATCCGTCGCGTCGAGAAGCTCTTCGCCATTGATACGCAAAATGGCGAGTCCAACCTGGAACAAGACCTTGGGTCCTTCCACGAAGAACACGTCCAGGACTCGGAAGGCAAATACAAGGGGCATAGAGTTGATATACAGTGATAGAAACCATGGCAGAGAGACAACAGATAGTTGTACATCGCTCTTGACAAGATGCTCCCATAGGATCGGCATGGTTTTCTCCACGAGCGACTCAAAGACTTTTTGATCGAGAAGTGTGCCGTACATGGTGGTAGAATAGTATCCCGGAACTAATCGCTCGCAAAGAGTGGAGAGGAGGTAGAAAGCCTGTGATTCTGACATGTATATCAGCAGCGCTGCAACGACGATGTTCATAGCCTGACAATAGCCAACTTCTGCATTAGTCCAACTGTAGGCGGTTAAAACTCGACGGAGTCTCCCAATGCCCTCCTCGCTTTGATAGCCGGGGTACTCTGGCAAGCTTCGGTTCAAGTCCTTTTCGATCTCGTCGATGGCAAGAGACTCCTGGCCTTCGAATTTATCCAGCGTCTGTTTGTACTGTGCTGGGTTCTCCAATCGCAGAAAAATCGAGCCAGAGGTGAGTTCCCAAATTTCACCTCTTAGACGATTGGGAAGACCAACGCGGATTAACTTATGGAACGTGGGTTGCCGGATCAAGGTAACATTGCGGCCGTTATCTCGAAGATATTCTGCCCACAGTCGCATCTTGGATCGGTCTCTGAGCTTTTTGGCATCGCCAGGATATCGGAAAATCATCCCAAGGCCAGCATCAGGGGCGGTTGCGTTCTTCTTTTCGTCCGTTCGCAGGAGATATTCCGAGTAGTTTTCGGCGACAATACCACGTAGCTTTCCTACGCTGCCAACCCCTGCCTTGAGACCTCTCTTGAGGCCATCGCAGAATCTTTCACATGCCTGTCGAGTTCCAGCAAGGTGTATGATTATTCGTTGCTCTCTGCCATCCTTCTTGTCTTTCTTGCCGTCTTTATCTTTCGCGTCGTCGAATAAGAGTCCGTTCCACGTCGTAAAAGCGAGAGCAAACTAGGTACCATGTAAGTTAGAACAAGCATAATAATAAGCATTGATGGTAAGGCGAAATACCTGAAAGTTTTGGCTGTTCAACCTCTCCACCCTGCGGATAGCACAGAGTGGGAATGTGAAGCCATTGCCACTAGGTCCACCGCCATGGGTTTGCCCAGTGAAGGCCTGTGAGGTTGACGTGCTGGCGGACTGCGAAAAGCTCGATGGCGTTGTAGAGAAGCACATGTATGCCTCAGACAGGTGAAGCTTGCCTGCGTAATGCCATCCCCTCTCATGGTCTCGGTCTCCTTGTGTTGTGTTGGATGGGGGGATTGTAAGCTCGGCATTGATCTCGTACACCGGATGCTGGGATGAGGGAAGTCGAAACTGGCCCTGGAAAAGAGTTGCCTTTGAAGGGTTCCGGTCGGAATTGGAGAGATTCAGGCCCTGTGTCGGGTCTATGAACTGCTGAGCCTTTTGCACGAAGCTCGTCAGGTTAGAGAACATGATTCCTGGCCATTCAACGGCGCATGACGACGCTTAATGGACAACGAGGGTTCGCAAACTCGGCAGCCGAGAGGTCAAGGCAGGTCCGAGTTGGAAGTTCGAGACGATTGGGTGTCAATATGCTCGGATGAAGGGGGTTACAGGAGAGGCCAGGTCCATGAAAGAACGAATGCGGTTGACTTGGGGCAGTTGAAGGGACCTGGAGCTGGCCAGTATGGGGTCAAGGAGCCCGCCACTAAGGTGCCCGCCTAAGAATGTCGAGACCTGGCAGGTACACTCCAGAGTCCCCTACCGCCTAAGGTACACCTATCTGCCCGCGCCAGGTGGAGCTCAGCAGGGCTGCTTACCTACTACGATACCATTTGTCTATTCTCCGGGCTGCATATACAGCTCGTGTGGCTGGTTGCGTCTGACTAAACCAGCACCGTCAGCAAACATCAACTGCGCCACCCGAGACCCCTTAACACATCAAGCTCAGGGAAGCTCACCAGCCTTTGAGATTCTCAAGTGCGTCGAGTTTCAGCTTTCACCATCGCCAAGGCGTCTGTGGACCCCGACTGCCCTTGACGATAGTTGTATTTAAGAGCATTGGCAAGCATAGAAGTCGCCGCGTAGGCATGTGCGAGCTGGGAATGGTCTTATATATCATACCTAAGTAATTTACCCTGCTCATGCCAGCAATAAGCGGCATGCTATGCCGCCAGCGATGCAGTTGCACGGATTCATTGGTCTGCCATATCGGACGGCTAGTGAAACCGTGCTCAAACTCGGGTCGAGCATGGCACCTCCTTTTCGCCAGCACCAGACAAGTATGCGATTAAAATAACACCTGGCAGCGTGAGAACGGCGCAGCGGCCCCAGAACGGGCTTCTGGAGATCGGCGTTTGAGGATCTCAGAGCGCTGTCTCGATGAGCCCAGCATTACGCGTCTGCAGGTATGTAGCACTGATCTGGCGCTTCTGGACGCATCGTCCAATCCAATCTACCCTCGATGCACACTCCCCGCCCCATGCCGGCTCCCAGCCAGAGGTTGCTGACCCCCTCAGAGGAGGCCGCGATGGCAGCAGGAGGCGCTTATACAGTGTCTAGCGGGGTCCCTTAATTCTAGACTACCCTTTGCGTCATACCGTGGGCGAGCGGGACCGATCAAAGGGAACCTCCCCCAGACCCAGGCGGATCGCTACCTATTACTATTACCTCCATGCCATGTACCTATTACTGTCCTGGGGGGAGTTGCCCATTAATAAGGCGTCCTTTGTCTGTCCAAGTCGACCAGTCTAGTGTGTACCTTATCTTGCCAGCCGATTGATTCGCTGCTCCGTTCTCCGCCCGTGACCCTCCTGATCTGTACATTCATCTCCCAGCCGTCAGATAATCACTTGGTGCTACCTCGAGTTCTGGGACGCCGAGTCTTTGTCGACCCCCATTTCTCCGCCCCTCCTATCAGCCCTCGCACTTCTGTATAACAGCAAACGCCAGACAGACTCGACTCGCACTCCCAATTGAGGTATTAATAGCTTCGTCTCCGTCACAGCCAGTCCCGTGCGCCTTAGCTAGTGCACACGAGCGGTACAGCATAACACCGGGTCCAACCGAACCGTTCCATCACACCTGCTCTCTCACCTGGGTGACCCCTCCTCCTAACCTTCTCCCAGCTTCAGTTGGTTATGGATTCTGCCTGAACCGCCCAAACGCCCGGCTCAGCATCACGAGAAGGACAGAGGACAGGGCACGGCACATACGTAACCGGCCTCGAGCGACACGGTCTAGGGTGACCAGGAGCCGTTTTCGCTAGTCCACATGGCAGCCACCGTCGCAAAGACTCAGGTCCCAGACCTATCGGCCGGAATATCGCCTGCGTCGGCATCCCACGCTGCCATCCACAGTGTCAACGAGAGCGCCATGGCAGTAGCCGGTGATCGCAATGTAGAGCCTTTACCACCCACCCGCAAGTTCGAACTGAACGACTTTAGGCTCGTTCGCACCTTGGGCACAGGTTCGCTCTCACCCACACCCATTCATCGCATTGCGTCAACCACTTAATTGCACATCACCAGAAATGGCTGACCCCCACATTTGCAGGGACATTTGCTCGAGTATGTCTGGTGTGCCCCGCTGGCTCCAACCCGCAGAGCGCCGACCAGTCAAACATCAAGTACTATGCCATGAAGATACTGAGAAAGACAGAGGTGATCAAACTCAAGCAGATTGACCACGTCCGCCATGAGCGGGCAATCCTCGCTGATGTTGCAGGGCATCCCTTCATCACCAACTTGCGTGCCACTTTCGCGGACCGTGATTCCCTATACATGGTCCTCGACTACGTGCCCGGAGGCGAGCTTTTCAGCTATTTACGGAAATTTCGCCGGTTTGATGAGCCCACGGCACGTTTCTACGCAGCCGAGATCGTTCTTGTGCTGCAGTATTTGCACGAAGATCAGGGTGGCGTGGCCTACAGAGACCTCAAACCGGAAAACCTTCTGCTGGATGCGGATGGCCACATCAAGTTTGTCGACTTTGGATTTGCAAAAAGGCTCGGGCACCAGGGGGACCGACCCGTAGAAACATACACACTATGCGGGACTCCCGAGTATCTGGCGCCGGAGGTAATCCATAACAAGGGTCACACAGCAGCCGTGGACTGGTGGGCTCTCGGCATCCTGGTGTACGAGTTCCTCACAGGATATCCTCCTTTCTGGCACCAGAATCCAATCGAAATATACAAACAGTATGTTAATTTGCTCTTCATCTCATGTGTCCTACGATATTTGAGAGAGTCATGGGAGAGACATGGAATCGCAGTACTAACCTGATTCAGGATCGTGGAAAAGCCCGTCCTGTTCCCTCAAAACCCCCCAATATCACCAGAAGCACAGGACCTCATCCTTTCTCTTTGCACCGTTGACCGGTCAAAGAGGCTGGGAAACATTAGCGGCGGCTCCCGGCGTGTCAAGGAACACCCCTTCTTCCGAGACCTAAACTGGGACGACATATATCATCGCCGCCACAGAGGGCCCATCATCCCACCAGTGCGCTGGCCTGGTGATGCCCAGTGCTTCGACATATATCCCGAGGATGATGGCCGACGAGACGACTACTCTACTGAGATGGCTGAGAGGTATGATCAGTACTTCCGAGATTTCTGAAACTGAAGCACGCGGAGAAGGCAAGAAGGAGAATGTTATGATTCTTGCGAAATGAGATATGTACGATACGAACAGGTGGCCAAAAAGCAGGTCCTTTTTACTTCCTTTTTTTTTAACCTAGCGTATTGGCTGTTTCTTTGATCCTGTTTACCCAGCAGAGCGTTGGAGGAAGCGGGACATAACCGTTGGGTAGCAATTGCTACGGAAAGATGGGCCCGGCGTTGTGATGATTTCTTACCCTTCAATTTCGGGTTTGCTTTTCTTTCTTTTCTGTTTTTTTACTCTCTTTCAGGACTTTATCCTGTCTAAGCTTTCGAGATGATGATTTAGTATGATGAACCAACCGCTAATACATTGGGGGTTTCCCCCCATCGCCCCTCACAACTTGCTGCCACCTTTCTCTGATAAGGTCAACAGATGAACGCTGCTTCGAAACTCGATGGGAATCTATTGATCTAGCACCCAATCCATCTCTTCTATTATATTATAGTTCCGTGAACCACTGACACAATGTGATGTTGTGCTCCCAAGCCTGCCTGTTATCCTTCTACCACCACAAATAACCGTATTCGCCCAGCTCTCTCTATTGTTACATACCGTATATCCATAAAGCAAACCTAGCCCAGGAAATAAGTGGAAAATAACGATCAACCTGAAACGGGGGACAAGCATCAAGAACATCCGTACAAAAACAAGACTGGAAGTACAAAAACAGGAAAATATGTTACTCATGTGCTTGCTCCTGCGAGGAACCAGTAGCACCCAGCTGCAAGCGCCACAACTGTTCCCAGAATCATGGCACCTTGCTGGGTGCTCCAAATGAAGCTCGTCCACCCAACGATTGTCTCCTTCCTGCGCGCAGCCACTCTCCTCTCCCAAGCCTCCGGGTCGATCTCAACTGGTAGCCGTACACGGGGATCTGATTGATCTGCGCCTGTGAGGCTCCTGGCTAGGGTTGCAGGCTCTATCAGCGGAACCGATGCACGGAGGAATACAGGACGGTGATCGCTGGTCGCGACTACTGGCATAGCATTGTATGCAATGATTTGGACGGATTCATCGCTGGGAGAGGGTGTATCAAGATACAGCACGCGGTCGGTCCAGCTCGGGTATCGATGGGGAGCAAAGGACCACTTGGGGTTCTCATCCTCGCTGCCTGGCTTGATATCATACTTGTAGGTAGGTGGAAAATCGATTTCTGCCTCGCTCAGGCCGTGGAGGGTCCGGTTAGCCTTGCGTTCGCGAGTAAGCTGGTCACGAGACAGGAAGGAGAGGTAGTGGTTTTCGGATTCGGGATCGAGGGAAGGAAAGGCAGCACCCGGGGGCGGGGACGTGGTGGATATGCGGTAGTTCAAGTCTCCCGCAACGAAGAGGTGGGAGGATGGTTTGAAGACGGATATATCATGAAGTTGACGCTGTAGGTCGGCATGCTGTTCGTCATGGAGAAGTCCTGCCGTTTCCGCCTCGGTGTCGTCCTCCGAAGAAGCCGGGCTTGCCTCCCGATGCTTTTCGATCACAACCTCCGGGTTCTCAAAGGTCATACCCCTCACAATGGCGGCCCAGTTCGCATTTCGCCTCGCCAGATTCCATTCCATTGCAGCCAAATGTGTGGCAATAAATGTGACCTCGGTCTCTTTTCCGGCCGTACCCTCATACAAAGCTCTGATGCCAACTGCACCCTTGTTCCCCATTTCAGCAGCGCCGAACCCAACTTCTGCTTCCTGTATGTTGTGTAGACGGTCTGGATCCCGGGCGAAAAATAAAATGGCCGTGTAGCCTACATTCCTGGCTCGGACTAAGGTGTAGGGTTTCTTGGGTTGTTCTGTGCGTGTGATGGAAACAACCTCTTGTCTATCGTCTTCGAATTGGAGAGCGGCAAGGTTGAGCGCATCCTCGAATCGTTGGAAGTAGGGACTGAGGAAATAGCCACCGATGAACGAGTAACTCATGGGTGCAACCTCCTGCAGAGAACTGCCGGGTGAAACCATGTGTCAGCCACGAGCTCTAGCTGTGCGAATACGTCTGGTGCCACGAGAGCACAGAGTCGGCAGGAAGAAGTTCTTACAAAACAACTAAATCGGGTAGGCTAGAGGCATTCTGACTGAAGCTGGTTTGCAAATGGCCTGCAAATATGGGGGGATTGATCAGCGCCTTGGCGCAATTGAATGTGATCACCAGCAGATCCAAGGTGGAGGGCGCCATTTCGTCTTGAGGTGATGTTGTGGACGGCATCACTAGGGTTAGGTCGGTGAGGCAGAGGGGAGGAAGTTAAGAAGGCCAAGGAAGCGGGTGGGAGGAGGGGTTTCGAATCAAAACGAGAGACCCTTGTTCCCAGCGAGTCCTGAGTTCTACATGCGAATATGCAGGTCGGTTGAGGAGAGTGACTGGTGTGTAGCTACGATATGGCGGGGAGACTTCCGGACAAGATTGGCTTGTGATGGCAGGTAATGGATGGCATTCCGACAGTAATATAGAAGGTCAAGACTAGGATAGGCAGGGTATTTATCCGCTCTAGGCGCTGTGGCAGCCAGCCTAAAAAATGGAGCTGAGAATGCCTATTCACCAACCAATAGCGCCGCAGGGCTATCGGGATGTGGGTGGCTGCTGCGCCCTCGTCATTCATTCACTGACATCCCTGCTCCACAAGTACCAGGTATCTCGCACTGAATTGCTGCTGATGTTGGGCGTTGTGGTTTGCGGAAAGGCAGAAAAGCACGTACCGACCCTGGGCATTCTGGTGGTGTGATTGCAATTCTACATCACAATTGGGAGCATGCTCGAGGCAGCGGGCCCATGATTGTCCAGAACGTCCAAACTGCGTTGTTCAACGGCAAAGGCCTGTCGAGGCAGACATTAGATAGAACCATTGGCCAGTAGTGGGGATCATCGCGACTCACCTGCACCTGCCTCGTGCTCGATTGCTAACCTTGGGATCGGTCAGCCAGAGAGTCACGCAACCATCTCCCCACCGCACCTCTCTCCAGCCCAGTGCTAGCCTAAGGGACAACGGTTCGTGTTTGCAGCTGCATATCTCTCCACCGATGTCAACTGGTGGGCCTTAGATGTTGCTTCCACGAAGAAAATGAAGCACACTCACGTGTTTGTGTAGAGGTACCAACCCGTTTGTTCACTGAACCGGGGAAGCCTGAAAAAACCCATCATGTACGCCGCCTTTACTCTCACATAACTGGTTGCTGGTTTCTGGAGCAAGGTGCGGTGACCAAGCAGCTACCTGTACCGGTTCCCCACTCGGAGTTCATGTTGGGCGGTGAGTCCCTCTGCCACTACGTCATATACTGTTGGTTTGAAACCGACATATGCCTGAGTGCTCTCACGACAATCTGACGGTCGCAGAACTAGATAGTCTTCAATAGTTTCACTTGGTATTGTAAGGGGCAGCAGTCAGCATGACATAGGGAAAAAATGTATTGCTGTGTTCTAACGACTGGTAACAAAGTACTGGGACGATCTGGTCTGGTCTTGTCATGTCCCTTCAAAGAAATGGCTAGATACGCCGTTCCTAGCTTAACTCGGTTCAACCCAAGCAATCTCTGTTAATTAGAGGGACAAGAAATCTCAAACTCAGTGGAACCCAATATGTCTTGGTTCGATTTTACCTCCAACCCTCAAAGCTACCAAGCGTATATCTGTTCGCCAAGATAGGTTGATGCGTCTGCCGCTCCCGCTCCTCGCCTGTAAGATACCATAACAATACTCGCCATGAGTTGGTAGCCATAGAGCCATGGTGGTTGAAGTAACAACCGCAGCCTACAGGCGTCGTGGTCCATGCTTTGTAACCAAATCTCGTCCCCGATGATTACCTCCCCAGAAGCCGGACCCGGAGCGGGATTCGAATGCCAAATTAGAAACTGAGAAAATAAGAAAGTGCAACCGAGTAAGAATTAACTAAGTAGGAAAAGAAGGAAATGTCAGGTAGTAACGCAGCTGTACCGCAACGACTGAGGCGGATGGCAGAGAGCGACAAAGGTCAGCACTCTCATAACCAGATCCATCTCCTGGGTCACTTATAAGTCGCACGGGTCAGATGACGTAGAGGAGCTACAAACTAGCCCCCCCGTTTCTAACCTTCTGGTACTCCTGGGATCAAAAGTACCTGACGTGCCGTTCAGATAGAAATCAAGTAGCAAAATAGGTTGTGGAGACAGAGTATAACCCTGCCAAATCAAAACCTAAGTTGCCACCCAAAATCATCCGAGCCATGTGTTGAATTCGTGAAAAGTTTCCCCTGATACGTCGAAGAACAAGATAAAGCAGTGCGTAGTATGAGACCGGGCGGGGCGTTCGTTGTCGATAACCAATGGAATAGGTGACAGTCGGGTCAATCAAGCAATTCCAGCAGAGGTCCCAAAGACATTGTAGTCGTCATGGGTGGCGTCCTCGCTCAAGGAAAAGTATACGGATTTGTTGCCCACGTGCCGCCGCTTCGAGAGTCTCAAATGGGTAAAGAAAGAAAAAAAGGAGGGCTAATTCACACATCATTTAGGACGGTAGCTCCCGGAGGCATAGCCAGCTCCTTTTGATGCTGAGCGAAGCCTGTTCATTGTCCACTGAGTCAGCAATAGTTGTCAGCAAATTTCCTTCGGCCAGCGGTATCAAAGCACACTAAACGCGCGAAGGAAAATGAATTCCTTACAAGGAAATAGCCTTGGGTTGGCTTGCAAAAAACTCACATCCTGTCGCTTCCACCGATGGCACGGTTGGTATCCGGGGTGTCAACGCCAGCACCAGATCCACGTTCGAGCATCTTGCGGCGAGAGCTGGGAATAGCATTGGGCTTGGCAGCTCCAGACTGTCCAGCAGCAGCATTGGCACGGGCGGCACGGGCCTTCTCTTCGTCGTCATTGGCCTGTCCGGTGGCCTGGGCAATGGCCTGGGCGTTCTTCTGGTACTTGTACACGGTCCAGTCGAAGACGTAGTCGTACTGGAATCCTTCACGGACGAAGAGGTCGCGGAAAATCTTGCGGAGGTAGCTGTAGTCCGGCTTGTCGTCGAATCGGAGGGATCGAGTGTAGTTGAGGTAGATGGCGAACTCGTTGGGGAAGCCACGGCAAAGGACCTCGGTAGGTGTGGTCATCTTCTTCTCCATGATACGGTCATACTTCTGCTTCTTGGTGGCAGCCTTAAGTCCCTGCCAGGGAAGAGATCCCCGGCAGAAGTAGAGCATGACATATCCAAGGGACTCCATATCATCGCGGCGGGATTGCTCAACACCAAGATGGGTGTTGATCGAGGCATATCGAGCGGTACCAGTAAGGTTCTTGTTCTCTCTGTAAGGAATGTGGAAGTGGGTCTTGGGGTCGCGGTACTTTTTAGCAAGACCGAAGTCGATGACGTTGACCTGGTTTCCACGCTTGCCAATGCCCATCAGGAAGTTGTCGGGCTTGATATCACGGTGAATGAAGGACTTGGCATGGATGTACTCGATGCGAGAAATCAGCTGGTCAGCAAGAAGGAGGACAGTCTTCAGAGAAAACTTTCGGTTGCAGAAGTTGAAGAGATCCTCCAGACTGGGGCCAAGGAGATCCAGGACCATGGCATTGTAGTCACACTCGGTTCCGAACCAACGAACGAAGGGAATACCAACTCCACCGGCGAGGGACTTGTAGACGCGAGCTTCATATTCAAGCTGAGGGTGCTTGGCCTTGACAGACTCAAGCTTGATAGCAATCTCCTCACCGGAGATGATGTTAGTGCCGAGGTAAATATCACCAAAAGAACCGGAACCGATCTTGCGACCGATGCGGTATTTGTTACCGACGCGAAGATCCTATTTTTGACATGGTCAGCAAGGTGCAATCTTGAAGAATTTGCATGGGCAAGACTGTGGATATGGGATAGGGGAGGGCATTTAAGCTCTTCACAGATTGGCCGACGATTCAACCTGAGCTGCTCGAACACCCTCCCTAACAATGAAACGGACTTGATGAGTTGGGGTGCAATCATACCATGGTTGTCATCTTTGCGGTTGTTGTCAGAAGTTCGTTCTATCGAATTTCGTCAAGCTGGTGTCTCTGGGGCAAGATTGCTGATGATGGAATATTAGTCTCGAAGATCCAACGATATGAATTTAATGGGGGTGGAGGGAGGCCAACTTATTCAAGTGAAGGTTGGAGTTTTGACGAAACAAAGGGGGTTGATGTGTTGGCAAAAAAAGAAAGAAAAAAAAAAAAGATTTGAAGGCAAGGATATGTTCTACTAGAACAGAATACTAGGATTGGGAAAAACAAGATGAGGAAAATGGTGGCCCGACCACATTTCCCAACAATGGTGACATAATGGCTGAACACGAAAAAACAGGACTGAATGCTTATAGGGGGGAGCTAAAAAAAGGAACACGCAAACAAAAACCATCTGACCTACCTGCAGGCAAGGAGGGAAATATTGGCGGTTAAAATTGGCGTGCGTGCAGAGCCGCCGATGCGGACTAGAAGGCCGACGAGTTGCAGGTTAAGGTTGGGTTCCTCTCACGACCGAGAAGGCGGCAAAGTCAATTCAACGCACACAGCGGCCGACCGAAGCTGCGTGACGATGAATGCGAGCACACTGCAGTGGTGTGCTTTGGGGGCAGGAAATGGTTGATTATTAGAGCGGCCGGGTCGAGCGTTCGGAGGTGAACAAAGGGGAGGCGGGAGGAGGAAGTGTGTGCGGTGTGTTGAGGAAGAAGGATGAATGGAGGGAGGTGGAAAAAAGGAAAGAGTAGGTGGGCAGGTGATGTGGAGAGGAGTCAAGTTCAGCAAGGGCGCCGGCGGCAAGGGAGGGGCGGGGAGGCGAAGCAGAAAGGGCAGAAAGGGAAGGGGAAATACAGCGGGCGGCCTTGGCCAAGCCCAGAACGACGCCTAAGCAGGAGCCTAACTTGGCCCCGAACGTGAGCCCAAGCCTGAATCTTGACCCTGGAAGTGCCCGCCGCCGCGTACGTTTGGGCGGGCAGACCCCCTCCCAACGCCAGCCCGGCCTCAAACCCGGACTGCCTCAGGCCATCAGGTGACTGACCGCCCAATGGCCCAGCACGGCACCTTGCACCTGTGTGCAAGCTGGTCCTGGGCTTGATCGCCGCCAGAAGGGACTGGATATCAAACTTGTGTTACGAGAAATACGTACCTGCTGTTCCCGGCCTGACACTTGCATTGCCCAGAATCAGACTACCTACGGGCTTGACCACACATGATGTTACAAGGAGCGGGCATCCGACTCTCCCTAATGCGGTGATGTAACAGCCAGGAGAACTTCATGCACACTTGATTCCAATGAATCACTGCACAGGCGGTCATCATCATCACACCCAGCTGGTAGGGAGGGTAGGCAGCGCTACCACCACTGGTGCAGTACCTATCACCGCCACCACCAACCAGCACCCTCAGATCTTCCTATCTCCGAGCAGAGGCCGGCGTGAGTGCAGAAAAAGCAAACAACCAGCCAATGCACGTCGTCCGAGCCCGTTGTCGCCAATCCACTGGCTACCAGCCTCCCACTCAGCTCGGCTCACCTACACTCCTCCCAGCCAATGCCAAGAAGCCAAGGGCTCACTGCGCTGCACGTCACGGAAATGCTGGCGGCAAACAACAGGCCGCCCTAGGCGATTGGAGAGGCGGTCGGTGGTCCCGCAGCCAACGCCAGAGCACAGGGCAGCGCTGAGACGAGATACCCAGTCACCGCCAAATTAATAAGCCGAGCTGCACCTGTCAACCCTCCGGCCTACGACTAATAATAAGAAGGCTTATGGTGGTAATAATATCTCCATGCAGTGCAGCTCATCAAAGGGAAATTCGCAGACATCCCTCCATGACACCTCGCGTGCGCTGGGTTTGCTGATGAAGCACAGACAAACCAGCGCCACCGCCAGCTTTTCCCACTCCTCTCGCCTCGCTCAAGCTGACTTGGCTTGTAGGAGCGCGCTAATGATTCGACCCTATTTCCCCAGCAAGAGGGGACGGACGCCTGATGTCTGCCTCCTGCTGGAGGCATGACAATGCCAAGCCCCGGCTTAGGTCAGGAGGTAGCTGGATGTGCATGTACTTGGGTGTTCCGCCATATATACCTCAGCCAGGCCGGTTATCAGTCCCTTTTTATCTTACGTAGGTGGCACTGGCGTCCAATACTGGCTATCAGGTACGACCCGGAAACCGACGCTGGCATGGAATCGTTGCTTGATACCTCCTCCTGGCCATTAGTCCTGGCCTTTGAGACGCAGGGATTAGGGAAAAGGGCTAGAATTGTTCTCCGTGTGTGATATCCACCCAGTCTCCACGGTGTCGCCGGGCCAAGCGCTTTCGCAGGGTGGCACCGCGTCCCCGAACAAAGCTTCCCGACGGTGCCCAGATTATGTGCCCAGAAGTATCGTAGACGGATAGACCAGCACCGATTGGCGAGGAGGCCCTGTATCTGCACATTCCCGCCAGCTAGTCAGGTGAAGGCTCGGCTTGCCGAGAGCAGATGGAGGAGGAGGGCAAATGGCTCACAACCGGCCGAGATGATATTTCTGACCGCATTGTACCCGGCCATGTTTGCCGGACAAAGGACACCAACTAGACCACGCTCCTATTCCCCTTTGATTCGACGGACTGGTACCGATTCCAGCCCCTATCGATGGCGCCGACGGACTAGGCAAGAGGAGAGCTATGTGATTCGCATTGCCGGGTCGGCATTAAACACAAATAGAAAAAGAAAATACCTAATCTAATGATTGTTCCACCCGAGCAGCACCCCTTCAGATCTGCATGGAGTGGCTTTGTAAACGCACGGCGACTTGCCGCCTCCCTCCCTATTGGGCACCAACCACCGTCAGCCTCCCGTCAAATGAATCGCTGGTAGCCAGCTCACCGGCCTCCGAAGCACTGATTGAGTCTGATATGTCATCACTCATGCAGTCCTCCTGCCTTCCCTTTCGGACGTCCCACACTTGCCCCTTTGTAAACTCATGTATGTATATGCAGGAAGGGTACAACAGGTGCGACGTCTGTGGGTAGCTGTCATCATCATCGTCATCCACGTCGTCTGAGACCAGCAAACAGGTCCGTCCCTCGGTCAATAACCCGCATCCCGCTCGGGCTGAACAACTAATTCGAATCCTGTTTCAATATTTGCCATCTTCCCGTTCCGCCATTCCACCTACGCCTACTCCGATTCGTAGTAGAGCCTCCATCCAGACCTGTTGATCCCTGAGCAAGTGGGATGTGTGTCCCACCAACTGCCGCGCAAAGAGTCTAATCCCAAAACGGTGCCGATCCTCCTCAATTGTAACCGCACTTTGCAATCTTTGTACACACAAATAGCACTTCGCAGGTTACACTGCATGAACGCGGAATTCGCCTTTGTGCTTAGTCCGTCCAAAGGGCGTGCAATAGCCGTCCCGTGACCCAGCCACTCCTCGTGCTGTACAGGAGACCTGTTGGGAGGTTACAGTCGCATTTCCCGTTGTCTTAAAAAACAGGATACGCGACAAACTCTTCGTATTAGCTCTGCGCGCGACAGAAATAGAACAAGTGCACAGAGAAGCAAAGGCCAAGCTGAGAATCAGCCCTTGCTTGTGGCCGTTCATCAATTGTGGGCTCAACTCCGATGGCCATGCAACGAATGTCTACCTATCCAACAATATGAATGTAGCTTATTTTCCCCCCTCGCAATGAGCAAGGGCTATCCCAAGATCAGGCAGGCTACACGTAACATGCATGTAGGTACCTACCTTATTCTCTGTGTAATGCAGAATACCTGTTTTGTGATAGGCTACCGAGCGCAGGTTGATTATGTGTAGGCACTTCCCTGGGTAGCACAAAACGCTTCCTTGCGGCTTTTAGGGCAGCACATGATTTTTTTTTCTTTTTTTCCCGGCTCATAGGTAATATCCTGGAATGCCAACAAATGCTGATTAGCCTCTCTAGCCTCGGAAGGTTCTCCCTGGAGGAGGTAAATTAACAAGGAGGATGATATAAACATTGTGGAATGAGAAAACTTCAAGTGTAGCCCGATACCTTTAGCTAAAGATAGCATAGCTTAGTGTGAATAAGCAAAAGGAATTGATGATTATAAATGTAACTAAACGTCAGACGGAAGTCATCATACTCTACGAACATTCCGCGGACGGTCCACGGACGAGCCGGGCTACCCACCCCGAGTTACCTACTTGGCTGTTATGTACTTTGGCAAGGATCTCAGTATGCAAAAAGTCTACTGACATTGAGGAACGAGTTTTCCAGTTACGGAGGAAAGCAGATGTCAAGGATAAATTGTTCCATTCCAGCGATAGTCTATTTCATTCACTCATAGCTTCGTAAAGAACCCAGTGTCTGAATTTGCTAGCCTCTATCCTAACTAGAGAATAGCTCTCGCGGGCAGCTATCAGACACCATCAATACACGCAGCTACTCAACTTCTATTTACGATACTTGTTGCTAATGAAAGATGCCCCAACATGAACAATTTCCAAAGGTAAATAACCCGACGATGCTACGGTAAATCTGACAAATCACTTCATAAAGCTTCATTATCCCCACGTAGAAAGCAGAATACGATCATCATGACGATGGACCTCAATGCGGGGGTTGCCACTGAGGTTGAGGTGTGGCAGAACCGGTGTTGTTGTAATATTGCCCGGAAGGCTGTTGAGACGCGTATTGAGGCTGTTGCGGCGCGTGGCCGGAGTTTGCCTGAGGTCGGAATCTCGGGTCAGGGTGGTTCTGGAGAATCTCTTCAACCTTGTTCTCTAGTACCTGGCTTGTTTTGTCAAGCCATTTCTTGGCCACTGTGCTTCCGAACAGCTTACCCCCCGCCGGTCGTTGAGAACTTGGTGGGTGTGATGGCCCAGCAACTGCTTGGGGTTGAGCTACGTAATGGGTCTTCGGCGGAGGGGGGTAAGCCATTGAATTAACTGGATTGGTACTCAATCCCACTGAAGGATACGCATGAGCGGTACTAGGTCTGGGGGGGAGAGGTGGGGGAGGTTGAAGAACATGATATGTCTGGCCTGGAAGTGGGGTGTATGCGTATTGCGTATGCGAAGGCGGTGGGCCAGGTGGCGGAAGACAATCATCTTGCGTAGAGGATGGAGCCTGCGGAGATAGGGGCTGTCCTGGGGGTGGTTGTGTTGGTGGTTGGCCAAGGGAAGGCGGTGGTTGAGAAGGAGGCTGCCCGTAGGATGACGAGAAAGACTGAGGAGGCAGCGGGGATGATGGCTGGCTCTGAGAAGCATAGGTAGGCTGAGTCGGGAAATCGGTCTGAGGCAAATGAGGGGCAATTTGCGGCGGAGGTGGGAACAGAGAAGGTTTCTCGGATGGAACAGAATGGGAACCGGAACCATGCGTTGCAGACGGCATATAGGGAGGTGGCGGGTCCGAGGGAATGGACTGGTCGACTTCCGGAAACTGAGGGAACTTCGATGGCCTTGCCGATGCTTCTGCATTCTGAGCACTGCTGGAAGCATATGTTGCTTGAGGGATGAAAGCACTTGGCTGCTGGGCTGGCTGAGGGCTGGGTTGGGGGCTGGGTTGAGAGCTCGGGGCAGCAACAGGAGGAGGTTTAGTCTCAACCGGGATAGGAGTGGGATCTGGAATAAAAGATGCAACTTGCTCCGGAGCAGGGCTCGTGGGCTTCGAAGGTCCCGGACTACTTCCACTGACGGGTACATTTGTTGATGAAGATTGAGCCGTTTTCTTATCTGGGCCAGAAGCCGGTGGATGTGGCCATAGAACTATCTCGGCAGGCTGTGGAGGAGACGAACTTTTAGGAGGAATAGGCGGACTTGCTGGCTGTCCAGCATGCACTCCGGCCTCCTGCTGAGCGCTAGAATCAACCGCGGGAGGGCGAGTCTTGAGCGGAACGGGCGGTGGGGGTGACTGGTTTACCTGGCTGCCTGCCTCATATTCAGAATATGGGGGTTGATAAGGTCTGAGAGAAGGAGACGGTGTTCTATTCCCCAGAGCGGGCGAGCCTGCCGCAGGTATTTTGGGAGACCCCGTTGGTGGAACGGCTGCCAGAGATTGTTGCTCTTTGCCCGCGGGAGATGGATATCTAAATGGTTGAGCCGAGAGCGCTGGCGAAGTTGGAGCGCTCCCAACTATTCCATAGCCTGATGCAGGCGCCGTGGTCGGAACAGCCGTAGCGCTCGCAGACGGCCTTTCATCATATGACGGCCGACGGTAGGGCCTATAGGCTTGGCCTGGCTCATGCTTAAAGTGACCAGCGATCGATGGCGACTTTGGCTCTTCCAGGGAAGTTGGCGGCTGATAGGGCTTGTACGTCTTGGGTGAGAGTGGAGGGGGTGATGACTGTGAAGGTCGAGAGATGTTGAGCGGCGCCGGGATAAAGGAGTCCGTTTTGGCTGGACTGGCGGGCCTCATCACAAGAGGCCGGACCTCTGCAGAAGCATCGGAGCCCGCAGGACGCCCCGCGAACTTGATCGCCAATGCAGCAGGCACAGCATCGTTGTCGTCGTTGGCCGCAGCCTGTGGTCTACCGGCTTCCTCCATGATCGGTCGTCTCTGGCCTTGCTCATCCAAGTAGAACGGCCACGGATGAGCCTGAGAATTCGGACCCGTCTCCTTCCTCTCTGGGTATATATTGTTCGTGCTGTTGTTGTCCTTCGAAGGTGCCGACTCCCCACTCATTTCGAAGACTGGGTTGCCATCAGGGGGTCTTGCCTCCAGCTCGGCCCCGAACAGCGGCCGCGGGTGGCTGCTGTTTGGGTTCTGCGGTTGGCTCACCATTCTACCTCCTGGGCTGAGGTAGGGCTCTCGGGTCGCAATGCCGTGGGTTCGTGCTTCTTCCGGCGTTGTCGTGCAATCAAGGTTGATGACGTTGCGTTGCGAGGACAAGTCGGGCGGCAGCTTCTGAAATGAGGGGTCTGGACCCAGTGGTAACTTGGGCAATATAGCTGAACCGCAGCCAGTTCGACGAAGCTCGGGATAGAACCGCAGGCGTCGGGAAACCCAGAACGTCCCGTTGAATCACAAATAGAGAGATGTGAGGTAGATTGAATAGACAAGGATTCCGGGTCATCTACCCAAAAAGCTGGCGTGGACGCATGGGCATGCAGATCACGCTTGACAATCAGCCCCCCCGGTTAGGTTGGGTAGCTTACCGTCCAGCGGACTGCAGTAGCTTCTTTAGGCGGTGCTTGGGTGCCTAACGCTGAGCCCATGCCAGAGGTTAAAGCCACCACCTTCTCAGCCAACAGCCCCTCCCCCCTTCAGCATCCCGAGAACTGCGGGAGAATAGTGGAGGAAGCCCAAGCTGAGGCCGGCCATTCTCATAGGGTGGGTAGGTTGGCAGCTGAAGCTCATCGAACCATGACCTAGACCTGGACCTGGACCTGGACCTGGACATGCTCCCACCTGGCAGTTCATACACCCTGTTCACATTCCACATGGACGTTTGTCTGGGAGTCAAAAGCTTAATTCTTCGCCCCTCTACGAGGCCATGTATGTGACACAAGGTGGCATGACACCTCTGCCTCCTCATCTACACTGCGACATTCACGATGGAGCGGAACAACGAGTAAACATAAAACCAGTTCATTTATTATAGCAAACCCCGGCATGAGATAGATAGCCTCCAAATCTCCCAATATTATGTACTGCAGAAAAGACATTGTAATCTTTTGCATGCCCTTCCTTCAATCCTGTAATGTCGATGTTGCAAACCAATCTCTCTCATATACTCTTCTCTTCAGACAGGCCTGGCACAGTGTCGTGACTCAGGCCTCATCCACTCTAACGCAACGTAGCTGGGAATAATGAAAAACAGCGCAGGAAACATTAATTTCAAAGACTTCTGCCTCCCTCCCCGCCCCAATATTGAAAACAACGCCTTCTCCCCTCTACCCGCCCCTCATCCGTATCCTTCTCTCCAATTTTTCTTTTCTTCTTAGTTCTGTACAACGAAATCGATGCGTATTTCCAATATTTTCAATCAATTGCTAGAACAGTCTTGGAGGCCCCTCAAATCGGCGCTTCTCTCGCAAAATGTATGAGAAATGTAACAATGGGAACAAAACAAGATGAACAAAAACCCAAATGATGATAAAAAAAATTGGAACGAGGAAAGTAAAACCCAAAAGTGTGAAAAAGAGCAATGAAAACCTAAGAATAGTTCATAATGCAAAGAGGTATCATGTTTCTCGTGCCGACAGATAATTTCCACCAGAAACAGAAAATGAATGAACCCGCAACTGTCGACCCCGAGACGAGATTTGGGGGGGAATCAATGTGCCTATTGTCGCAAAATGGTATCTCAAACAGCAAGAGACTTGTAGAAATGTTCGGGAGAATGCGTGGCACTGAGCAAAGGGAGGAGGCGGCCGTCAACTCGTATCCAGTGTCTTTTAATCGTCCTTCCTCTCTCCGCGCTTCATGCGGTCGTTCCAGCGGGCCTTGCCACGTCTGGTCTCATAATGTGGCGCAATGGACTTCGAGTCGCCCTGAGCGCCCTCGATGGCAGTACGGGTCTTATTGCGGTAACAATCCACTATGACACATCATTAGTTCCATGTTTTCTTTTTCTGGTGACCTGAAAAGAAATGAGGCTGACTCACATGCTCGCTGGAGGAAAACGGTCCTGCCGGAAAACACTCGGCTCTGCAGCCACGCCATGCGGAAGCCCAGGTCGTTAAGCTTGACCTCTGTACCACGGGCAGACCTACGCGTCCTTGGGACGGACACTTCTTCCTCCCGGCCTTCGCCGACGGGGACCTTTACCATCTTCATTCCACGACGGCTAGCCTCCCTGCCCTCAGTCTCTTGTGTGTTATCATCCTCCACATCGTCAGGGAAGAAGTGGGAGCCTGTGGCGCTTGGGGGAGGGCTTTGCATCTCACGGGGGAAGTAGCTTCGAGGAAACACGCTGGCGCCCTTGCGGAAGCTGTCGGGGATCTCATTGGTGTCGACACCCTCGAGAGTGACTCTCACACGAAGCCTTGATCCGCGGACGTTATCCTCGACCAGGATGAACTTCCTCTTCTTGGCCTCGGGGATGTCAGGGAAAAGGTCATCATGGTCCTCAGCTCCGGACCTGCTGTGACGCTTAGCTGGAATGATGCTGCTGGAATGAGGAGCCATGTGAGACATGGAGCCTCCATGGCCATTAGTAGGATAGCCCTGGTTAGCGTAGCCAGTGAAGACCTGCGCTTGTCTCACATCATCGCCTGGACCGCCATGTGTGGGAGCGGCACCGGGGTGATGGTGGCTTTCATAGTGTCCGTTGTCTAAAGAGGGCTTGGAGTCAGCGCTCTGTATTCTTTGATTTGTAGTACTCGGAAGATCAAAACAGCATTGCAGTGCAGTGAAGTGAAGTGAGGGGCAGTTGAATAGCAGGAATGTCTGTCTCCAAACAACGCTGGGGATCATCTTTTTCTATTATACAGACTTGGTAGGGGCCCAGTCATAAGACAAGGTGCTGTCCTGCAGGGATGGATGTCAATAATCCTCCGCTGCAATGCTCCCCGACCCCTGGAACCCCAAGTAGCGAGGATAAGCGCCTCAACACAGTTGGGCAATAAACTAGCAGAAGCCATGAGAAGCGCAATACCGGACCAATATGTTCAATATCCGTAATGTACAGGGTTGCGCCAATCAACCAACGAATTAGCTGACGCTTCTAGAAGCTCAAGCCTTGCTGTCGTCGTATAAAGACGTCGGTACCTGAACGCAAGGTCGCCCTAACGCTACTTTAAAAATGACAGAAGAAGATCAAACTTTGAACAAGCCCCCCATATCCCATTGTGTGAATTAATAACGACAAAGAAAAACAAGCAGACCAACAGACTAGGAAATGTAGAAAAGCAGGATATACCGATGCGAGATGATTGGTTGCGTTCCTCAGATAATCAGGGCAGCAAAATAAAGGATGTGGTATCAATTACGGTAGACAAGACATGCCAGACAAGATGGTGAAGTGTGATGCCATGTTATGCGGGTGTGGTCAAGGGAGGTGGTATATGGCCGTCAGGGTAGGAGAGGTTGAGGGTAAGGGTATAAAGCCCCGACGACAGCAACGATATGTGCGGCTTTTCGCTAGGGGATTAAATCACATCTGGTGATGGAACATACCGACTTCTTCCCCGCCTTGTGATCCATCGGGGTGGCTTCCAGGATGATGGTGGTGTAGTGGCTGACCCATGCTGCCTAGTCCAGGCTTGCCCATGGTCGGACCTCCGGGGGCCATGGGTGCGGGCCCTGAGGGCATCCCTGGCTGCGCGCCAGGGGCTGGCATAGGTGAGGTATGTGGCGTACCCTGGACATGCTTTCGCGTGTTCATCTTGGCCATGCGACGGACTCTGCGACTTCGGAGTCGCGGGTCTGAGTTGCTGTTTCGCCAGCTGTCAACAGCCCTCTGAATAAGACCTCGCTTTCCCCGGAGGGGGACATTGAGGTGCGCAAGTGCCCATCCGACGCGGTTGCAGTCCGTCTCGTATCCCAAGCGGTTTCCACGGTACTGGTCCTTAGGGCAGCATGCACGTGGGTACACGCAGTTTTCCTGTTTGAACTCCTGTGAGAGCTCCTCCGTATTCACCGATTCCACGTCGCACCGGATCGTGTACTCCATCTTGACCCTGTCACGCGAATACTCGAATGCGATCCATTGCACTCCATTTCCGTCTTGCCGAACAACGGGGGGCGTTGTCGCGGGAATCGGACCAGGCGCAGCGTTGGGGTTGACGCCAGCGGCAGGATTGCCTGGGCTCTGAAGCTGCCCTCCATTCTGAGCGTGGTGCATGGGAGGCATTGGTGAGGTCTGGGGCTTGTGAAGTTGGAGTGGAACTTGAGACTCGATCTTGGCGCGAGGGCTGTTGGTCATGCCTTGCTGCGCGTGCTGCTGGTGGCTCATGGGGTTGTGAGGTGCGGGATGAGACATCATCATGTTGGGCTGGGAGGTCATGGGCTGCTGAGGGTGTTGCGCATGCTGCGCGTATGGCGAGGCGGTCGGCTGCGGGGGCATCGACTGATACTGCGGCTGTGGCTGGTAGTACATTGATTGAGGCATGTGCTGCGACGGCGGTTGGCCGTAGATGCTCCTGTGCTGGTCATGCTGGGAGGGAGACGCGACAGAGGCAGGCGAGTTCGACTGCGGAGTATGATATGACATTGGAGGGTATGGAGGCCTCGGCATCTGTGCTGCGGCCATCATCTCGTTTGTGTCTGTGTAGCCTGGTCAGCTCCGGATCTTTTGGGGATGCCCACGCGCAACGAGACGCGTGAGCGATTGGCAAAATTGCGCACCTGCCGACGGATATCCGCCGTTTGCACTAGCTGTGTTGTAAGAGTTTGGGTGGTTATAGTACGAAGGCAGGTTGTCTTGCCCGCCTGAGTTTTGCCCGTTTGGTGGATATTGATGCGCAAGCGTGTGGCTTGATGAGTACGCGCTTTGATGCTGCTGAGGCGGCGGTTGAGCCTGCTGCTGGTGATGCTGCTGGTGAACAACGCTCGAGGGCCTGGAGTGCTGCAGCTGAGCAGGTTGAGGACCTTGTTGCTGGTGATGGGCAGGATGCTGCATAGAGAAAACTCCCATTAGTTACACGTCGACACGATACAGCTTCAACGGACAACAAGGAAAACACAAAGATGCAGGACGCGGTGGTGTTATATTCCCCTTGACACTGTCAGGGTCAAGCGAGCTGTGGTGGAGCAGTCATCCCCTGGTGATGACTGGGATGGTACGGGTGAGGCGAACTAGGCCTAGAAGGACCGCTGCTGATAAAGCGCCAGCGAAAAAACTCACGTACTACCGCGACGGGTTGGGGGGGAGGGGTCGGCCAAAGTCCTGGACCCGATTAACCCGAAATCAGAGGACCTCTTGGTCGGTCGATTCTCGTGGCAATGTGCTGACGGAGGGTTTGGGAGAAAACGAAGGACGTGCGAGGAATGCCGCAATGCTTCAGCTGGCTGGTGGACAGTACAACGAGCTTTATCTTCGATGTTTGAAGACCGCCAAAAGCCAAAAAGCAAGGGCAACTTCGAGGCAAAGAAAAAAAAAAACGGGCGATCGCAGTCAAGGTACGCCAACAGAGTGACAAGACGGGGGGCAAGGTGAAGGAGAGCAGGGGAGCAGAGTATTTGAACCAAGATTATGGGGATTGGGTCAAGGTACGTAGGATGAGAAGTGGGTAAAGCAACGGGGTAATGTATACCTCGAATATGACCAGGG